CTTGAACAGTTTCTTAAACCATGAGTTCTTACTCCAAATAGGGTCCTCTTATGTCAGTGTCAGGGGCCCCCAAAAATGGCAGCAATATATGTTTTCTGAACATCACCTAGTGGTCATTTTACACAGTTACCCAAATCTGTATTCTGTGCTTATTCTGGATCCTGCAGACAATGCTTCAACTGTACTTCATAAAAAGGAAGATCAGTCTCTTTAAAAAGTCTTGCAAATGCTGATTTATCAGTAAATGTTTAATTTTTGTATCTATTTTATATATGTATAATCATGTAAAATTTCTCGGGACAAAAGGGGTCCAAGGTAGGAAAGTTTAAGAAGCTCTGATTTAGAGGGCCTTTTCATAAGCTGTTCCTAGATTGTGGAAAGGGATTTGACAGTTAAACATGATTTCAGAATTTAAAACAGAATTCAAGGCCTATCTCTTCCAGCAAGCATACCCAGTCAAATTTAAACTATGAACTTTAAACTGGAACTTTTTAGATAACAATTATTTTAATGTATGTTTTAATCTTAAATGTATGTGTTTTTTATCTAGTGTTTTTTGTTTTTACTTATTATATTTTAATTCTGTGTTGTACTCCACCTTGAACATTGGAGAGAGGCAGATAAGAAATAATAGTACCATAATTTAGTATAGCAAAGTGGAGAGGATTGCAATTGTAACTGGAGACAATCACTAGAAAATGGCATTTAAAAAACAACTGTGCATCAGGGAGAATGTTTCGACTATTGTTTATCTTTCTATTTTTGGGAGTAGGGCCATCACAAAAATGTGATCACAGTAAGTTATTCAGTGAAATACAGGCTGCAGCAGAGTGTGGGGGTGGGGAAAATACACATGCAAGTATGCCTCTTCTTCCCGTCTCCTAAGTTTGTAGTCACCTGAATAAAAGGCTAAGTGACCCTAAGCGTTGTGTGCCTGGCAGACAACACACACAAATTATAACTGATTATAACACACACAGTCCCGAAGCATACCTACTATATATAATGTACAGGCAGTCCCCAAGTCACAGACATTTTTAAAGCTTAACTCCAGCCATATATCTCTATCTATATCAGGGACTGTGGTGCAGCTGGCTGGGAGTCAGCTGCATTAAGATCACTACTGACCAAAAGGTCATAAGTTTGAAGCCAGCCTGGGTCGGAGTAAGCTTCTGACCACCTTTGCAGCCTGAAAGACAGTTGCATCTGTCAAGTAGGAAATTTAGGTACCGCTTATATGGGGAGGGAAATTTAACTAATTTATGAGGCCATAAAAATCTCCAGCAAGCATGCAAAAATGAGAAAGTACTTCATCAGTGTCACAAATGGTCGGTGAAAGGACAGCTCCCCTGGTGACCAGAATACCCTCAAGAAAAGTTGGAATTTAAATTGCCTCTGTGTCTGTCTATATATGTTGTGTGTCTATGGCACTGAATGTTTGTCATATGTATGTACATTGTAATCAGCCCTGAGTCCCCTGCAGGGTGAGAAGGGTGGAATATAAATACTGTAAATAAATAATAAATATCTATATCTACTGTGTATATATGAGCTTTGGATAGCATAGGGAAGGGTTAACACCTCTATGGTGTTTGTTTTGCTGTCTGTGAAACTGTTCTGAAGATTTCACCTCACTTTCTGCCCCATGATAACTGGATTTTGAAAAACTTGGTTTGTTGTGGAAACAAGGATTGGGGAGAAAGCTTCGGTGGCAGGGGCGGCTCGTCCATTACGCGAAGTAAGCGGTTGCAGAACACCTTTTTTTGCCAGGGGCGCAGAGGCACCTCTGTAAATGCCCCTCGACTGCCACTTGAGGAGCGCCCCCTCAGCTCACAACAGCCCTAGCAGTCCGGGGGGAGCCTCGGCTTTCTTGCCTCGCTGCCGGGCGATCCTCTTCCCAAAGGGGCCGGGCCCTTGAGCCTCGCCTAGCCCCTCTCGTTCCTGCTCCACCCGGCCACCGGGTGCGCGAGCAGAGCCGGCACTCAATCGTTCTCTGCGTTCGATCCCTTCCCCATGACCAGCTCCCTTTCCCGATCCCCCGGCGCTCCACCTGCCTCCTCTCCTCTCCCCAATCCGCGGGTGGGCCAAGGGGCGGAGCCGTGCCTGGCCCGCTTCGGGTCCGGAGGCGTGTCTGAAGACCCCAGCGTGCGCACCAAAAGTCGCCTCTTCTCCTGACTTTCTCTTCAGCCATTGGGACCAAGAGAGAGAGAGAGAGAGTGAGAGAGAGAGAGAGCCCCTCCGGCTGGAGGTATCTCCCACCTCCGCTCCCTCCTTTGTTTTTGCGCCTACCTTCAGGAAAGGTGGGCATCTCCACCTCTCTCTCTCTCTCTCTCTCTCAGTCCCAATGGCTGAGGAGAAAGTCAGGAAGAGGTGACTTTTGGTGCACACGCCGGGGTCTTCAGGCACGCCTCCGGACCCAAAGCGGCCAGGCAAGGGAGCAAGTGCGGCAAGTGTAGTTACTGGGATGTATAGTTCACCTACAATCAAAGAGCATTCTGAACTCCACCAATGATGGAATTGAACCAAATATGGCACACAGAACTCCCACGACGAACAGAAAATATATATCAATGATTGGTTGGGGGGGGGCGCCAAAATACTGTTTGCTTACCGTTGAAAATTACCTAGGGCCGCCTCTGTTCGGTGGATACACCCTTCCCCCATGATAACTCTTTCCGGAGTGAATTTCACTTTCAAGGAGTAGACTTATCTCACTTCCTGTTGTCTCAGCCCTGGTCTTAACTATGCGTTGTCTGTAAGTCTGATGTTTGTAACCTAGGGACCCATGAATAACTGCACAGACAGAAAACACACCAGTGACACCTTAAGCAGGCAGCCATCCCTGGCAACAGCCACTATTTCTCCACCTAGGCCAGGGGTCCCCAAACTTTTTGAACAGAGGGCCGGGTCACAGTCCCGCAAACTGTTGGAGGGCCGGATTATAATTTGAAAAACATGAATGGATTCCTATGCACTCTGCACATATATTATTTGCAGTGCAACCCCCCCCCCTCGCCAAAAAAAATATCAAAAAACAAAAACACACACTTCTATATAAATAAAAATGTAATGTTCGTTTGTGGGATTAACAGAACTCAAAAACCACTGGACGAATTGACACCAAATTTGGACACAAGACACCTAACAACCCAATGTATGTCCTTCACTCAAAAAAAATTGATTTTGTCATTTGGGAGTTGTAGTTGCTGGGATTTATAGTTCACCTACAATCAAAGAGCATTCTGAACCCCACCAACAATGGAATTGAACCAAACTTGGCACACAGTTCTCCCATGACCAATAGAAAATACTGGAAGGGTTTGGTGGGCAGTGTCCTTTGGTTTTGGAGTTGTAGTTCACCTACATCAGAGATCACTGTGGGCTCAAACAATGATGGATCTGGACCAAACTCTACATGAATACTCAATATGCCCAAATGTGAACACTGGTGGAGTTTGGAGGGAAAATAGAATCTTGACATTTGGGAGTTGTCGTTGCTGGATTTATAGTTCACCTACAATCAAAGAACATTCTGAACCCCATCAACGATGGAATTGAACCAAACTTGGCACACAGTTCTCCCATGACCAACAGAAAATACTGGAAGGGTTTGGTGGGCAGTGTTCTTTGGTTTTGGAGTTGTAGTTCACCTGCCTCCATAAATCACTGTGGACTCAATGATAGATCTGGGAGGCTTCTCCCTCCCACACAAGCAGAGCGGCCAGAGCAGAGGGTTCCCGGCCGCTATTGGCAGAGCGGTGCCGGTGGGCGTGGCCAGGGAACGGCGTTCCCTGGCCAAGCCCACCCAGCGCCACTCCGCCAATAGCAGCTGGGAACCCTCTGCTCTGGCTGCTCTGGTCTCCAAGGACCCACCTGGGAGGCTTCTCACTTGGGAGGCAGAGGGTTCCCGGCCGCTATTGGCGGAGCGGCGCCGGGTGGGCGTGGCCAGGCCATGCCATGCTGCACGGGCCGGAGAAATGCCCTCAGCGGGCTGCATACGGCCCGCGGGCCGTAGTTTGGGGACCCCTGACTTAGGCATTCGAAAATGCCAGAAGCAACACCATGGCAAATAGAGTGGCGTGTGGTCAGTGCTTCCTTTAACAGCTGAATAAAATTCCACATTTTCTGCTTTGAACTGGAAGATACGGCAGTGTAGATTCAGATAATCCGGTTCAAAGCATATATTGTGGGAATTTCTACCTTAATATTTTGGGTTATTTTGCTGTGTGGAAGGGCCCTAAGTTTTCCTGGAGTGTACCTGTTGCCTTTCACAACTCTACTCGGAGAACAGAATGGCTCCTTTTAAAATAAGAGTTAAAATACAGTATTCATATAGATAAATTGAGGCAGATTTTTGAGTTGACTTTTTGACTTACATATGTGTATATAGGGTATTTGAAATTTAGCTCCATGAAAATCTGTGTACTTTCTTATTTAGGATAAGCGTATTAATATGATTTAGTATAATTTCTTTTTTTGTAAAGCAACAAATGGGTGAAAAGCACAACTTCCATTCAGAAAAATGTATCATATCCCTTAGGGTACTCTCTTATGATGCATCCTTAAGCTACCACTGTAGTCTTCTCTAATTTATTCTTTCTCCCAGTAGTCAAGGTGCTATTCCATTGAACCACCCCAACAATGGGTATATGGTTGTTTCACAATGGACTGAAACCATTTCCCAGGAAGATTACATTTACTTTGGTACAGGAGTCCATTGGGATGGTTAAGAATGATTACTTTTGTCCAAGGTATTTAGAATAAGTAAGAACGTTCTGGATAAGATTTTGAATTGTCATAGCAAATTAAACGCAATCTGCATAATACTGAAAGTTTCATTTAAAACTTTTTGACAGAGTGTGTAATAAGCAAAGTTTTAGAAGTTTTGGAAAGTAATTTAAGTTCAGGATTTTACATCTTTTGTGAAATTGCAGCATTTAGTGTAAATGAGCAAACAGTCGAGGAATGAAATTAAGAGACTTAAGGAAAGAAATACAATCTGAAAATAAAAATGAAGCCTTGTTCTTGCATCAGAATGATTAGATCTTGCAATTTGCATATACAAATAATTCAGCAACATTCACTGGCATTATAAATACAGCAAGATCAAATTATAAATGTAATAAAAGGAAATATCACTGTATAATACATACATATATTATAAAGATTTTGTCATAAATTAAGTACAGTTTTGCATATAGAGAAAAGAGTTCATAGCAATACATTAAAAATGATAATGCCTAATGAAAACATTTCAACATGTTGGAAACAAAGGTGTTCAGGCTTTAAAAAAAAGATTCATAAAAGTCCTTTTCAAAACACAGATCAATACAAGTAGGCATTCTTCTTTTGGGTCTGATTAAACCAAGCCATTAAGTACATACCTAAATATTTTAAACTTGTTCATTTCAAGAAACCCTGTTTTCTGTGGTGAGCATCCAGCCACATCACTGAAGATTTCTGGGACACCCACTAGCCAAATTAGACTTAGATGGCCCCATAATATGTATATGTATCATAGAACCAGAGCTGTCCCCACTATAAGGCTCATGGCTAGGTCTTCCAGTGTGACTTGATGGTCAACTGCCAGAAGCTGGTCATAGAAAACCTAGCAATTCCTAGAGAATATGCATTGTCAAAGGCTTTCATGGTGGAATCACTGGTGTGTTGTATGGTTTCTGGGCTGTATGGCTTCTGAAGATGCCTGCCACAGATACAGGCAAAACGTCAGGAGAAATGCTGCTAAAACCAGGCCATACAGCCCAGAAACCACACAACACAGAAAAGACTTTCATCAAATCCATGAATAATCAAATCCATTAAAAATCTAACCTGCACATGTGGAAGGAAGACTGTAAGACCTTTTTAAAGACAAATTTCTTGTCTGGATTGCAACAGACTGATAAAGCATTGTTTCCTCTCCAGTTTTAAAAAAAGTATTTTTTTAAAATTGGTGGTTTTTGGGTCCTGTTCTCTAATCCCAGATAATGTGGCGGGCTGACTGAATACCACAGGAGGATTCTTCTGGCTCATCCACAAAAAGTGGCCCTAAGCAAATAAAAGTGTAGTCTTGAAGGCAGCTCCTGCTAGAATGCAATGATTCCATGAGCATTCATTTTTGATCATTTGTCCTCCAAACTTCTTAATCAGCACTTTTCATTGTATATTTTTCATAAATTCTCATCCATCAAAAGTTCTAAACAGCTCCTCCATGTGGGGTAGTTCTTTCCATTTATTTTGGGAATTCTTCTCTTCTTTCCCAAGAACTCTTCATTGCTTCCTCTCTGCTCCTTTGTTTTCCATCCAACCAAGTGTGGGTTTTGTTTCCCAAAGGTATGAAATTCATCTCAACAAATTTTACAGGAATTGAAAAATGTGCTGAGGATATGCATTCTTTTGCTATAAAATGCAATTTCCCAAGCCCTGTACCAAGTGATTTGATACTTTTTGTAAGTTTGGATCTATATACGTAAGCTAATCCAACCAACAATGTGCTGCCACTTATAACTAATTTTTCATTATATATTTATTTCTGGATTTTGTATCTTTTGGAAAGCAACTTCCCAAGTGGAATGGGTGCCTTTTAAGTCTCTCTTTAGACTGGGCAACATATTTTCCCACTAACCTCAAAGGAACCGATCGTGAGATAACTTTTCATATGGCAAGAGTCATAAGGCTTGTGAAATGGCATTAATGAATTCACTAAATATTTTAGAGCTGAAAAAAGTCAGGAAAAAAAAGAACTGCAGCAAAACTACTTCCATTATGCAAAAACTTGTTGGATACTGACAGCAAAATCACTCCCATTACAGGTCTAAATCTACGAAAAAGCCCAAAAAGTGAAGGGAACTTGGTTTTTGCCTCCTACCATTTCTGGTCCTGACATTAAAGATAGGACAGCAGACTCAAAGCCTAGGCCACACTTGTCAAACGCAAAGTCTAGGGGCCAAATCCTACCATGTCATTTTATGTGTCCCACAAGGCTTTCATTGCCAGATTACATGTAGACAGTCTTTCAATTACAAACGCCCTTTTGGAGGCAACCATAAGGCTGATGTGGCCCTCAGAGAAATGGAGTTTTGACACCTCTGGCCTAGGCCCATTCATTACAACACTTCCCAGGTTGACGTAATCCTGTGTTTTGAGGCTGACTCCACAAATATAATGAAAACAAGAATGAGGGGGATAAATAAACCAGTCCAGAAAGAAGGTGCCCCAGATATCTAAATGGTCAGTGGGCAATCCAGAACGACAATCATGTTCATCAGTGCTCACATGTGTTTGCTTAAATTTGTCCACTTAAACATTTCATTCCTATTGCATAAACATGTCTGTGATATGCTACAGGAAAAAGTCAGAAACAATGCATCCTGTTTTGGTTAACTTTCCCATAGTTAATCCATCTTCTCATTGCTGAATCCTTAAAAACAAGACATAGAACCCAGGGTTTCAAAGGAAGCACAATTTGAAATAAACCGTTTTAGTATCACTGTTTGTGCACAGGTTCCAAGTTAAGCAGGTACTTAAGAGCTTTGGCAATCAGCATCCGCTGTCACGCAAGACAATAGATTGAGTCACATAGTGACTATTTATGCAGATCAGAACATATAATTTCTAATCACTATTTGGCATTTATTAATGCAATCTCATGCAATGTAAAAAAATTAAGTGGAAATCCTCAAATAGATTTATGTCGTATGAAGTATAGCAGCCTTGTTTGACTAAAAATCTCTGAGCTGACGAACAAACCTTACAAGCTTTCACAGACTTCGTAATGAAAATAAGACAGGTTGGGATTTAAACCATACTGTTGGAGTCAAAGTGTTTTCTACACATATGTCAAAGCTTCTCATCATCAAATGTCAGAAGAGAGGAGCAGTAAATCACATAAAACAGATAAAACAGAGAGAGGAGACTATGACAGAGAGAGGGGACTATGTGTGCTTTGGACAGCTTCAGAGAACACAATCCCAACAAAAGCCTCTGAAACGTGAGGCTGTGGAAGCTACTCCATGTTGAGAGAGATCTGCACTATTTAGCATGACAAAAATCAGCCTAACATCCAATTAGTCTGATTTCACTATTGCATGGGCAAGGATAACTACAAGAAACCTTTCAAAATCCCTTTTCATTCATGGATCTTTCTTGATTCCATTTCTGGGTCCATTTTAATAAATACAACTTTATATAACAAGCAATTAAACCAAAGTTTTGAACTGAGGGGTTGGTATTTGTAATTATTCCTCCCTCCTATGAGTGCAGGATTTCTTTCCACTACTGGAAACTGATGTTTTGGTTTGGATAAAGAGGAAGATGGACTAAGCCAATGCTTTGGAAAGCAGCTGAGCCCTAAGGCTAGAACTGAAGTGTTTCTTGAAGCATTGGCTGAGCGCGCTTCACTTCTGCTTCACCTTCACTGTGCAGAAAGGAAAGCCATGGAGTTTGTGAACATTGGCCTTTCCTCTCTTCTGCCCATTTCCATTTTGAGAGGGTTGGCCACTGTCAACAGAGAACTAAAGGATCTCTCTGGACCAGATGGCATCTGGAGGCCAGAGGTTCCTCTTCCATACCTATGGCCATTCCTAATTTCTGGTAGTCAGTATCACCTGAGTCTATTGTAAATCTATCACATGTAAGCTGTTTTGTAAAACCATAAGAGATACCTGGAATAATATAAATGTAGTTTAGCTACACCTCTTCTAACCCTTTAAGCAGCAGTTTCCACAGGTTTTGCACTGGGCAGCCTTTGATCTTCTTAGGATGCTTAAGCAGATTTTCAAACTGTGTGTGCAAATGCTTTTTTAAAAAGAAACTGAAAATGTTTTTTTGCTGTGCTAAGTACAGTGGTTCTCCTCTGGCCTTTCAGATTCAAAAAATACCAGGACAGAAAGCATATTTAACATTCAACTCTTACCAAATAATGGTGTTTCCTTTTGGGGTTAGAGGGCTTAATATCAGCCATCTCTTACAATAATTTCTATTAATTAGGTGCATAACAACAACAGGTATACATATAGATTTACAGAAGTGCATTAATAGGAAGACGCAAGCAATACATGGCAGTGCTTTAAAACTGTGCTTTTAGACTTCTAACCTGAACTGTTTTCAATTAAAAGTAAGACAGACTGATGTGAAAACCTTATTAGTATCTGCATTATTAAAAGTATTTAGCTTTCTTTTTTTCTAGACACTGCATTAAAAAGAACACTGAATAACACACCGAAGGAGCTAAACCGAAACAACTATGTTACTTAGTTTTCAATAAGGCTTTTATAATTATTTTCAAAATCCAAGCAAATGGATGAGCCAGAACTATTGCATATTAGATATCTATATAAATTTATTTATTTTATTTGCAATTTGTGCTCTTTTATATCTACATACTGAAATATTAGGGCTATGAAGTACTGTGTCTTTTATTAATTCCTCGTGCTAATTTTGCTCATACAATGGGTATGATCCAGATTTCTCACAAGTGGAATTTCACTCTGGAGGTTTTTACTGAAGGATGGAGGAAATACAATTTTCAATGGACCCCACCCTCATGAACCTAGTGCCCTCCAGTGTTCTTTCAAAGCACAGAAGGTCTGCAGAGGAAAGAGGGAATTGGCAAACATTTCCCACACATATTATATTTTTCCCCTTTGCTAACCTGACACTATGAATGTTTTATATGTGAATGTTGAGTCTCTCTAGCAAGTTATCATGGTCATTAAAATAAAGCTCTAGGATACAATCCACCAGGAAAATCCCATGAAATATGTCATTTTCTATGCATGTCTGGTTGCACTCTAAAGGTATAAGGGACGCATGACAACCAAAACAATCCTACAGGCATCATTTATGGGAAAAGCATTGCTCCTATAGAAGATCTGCACATATCTTTGAACTAAGGAGATCTCTGGTCATTCATAGACACAAAATCCAAATGTATCATTATTCTACCTGAAGAACCACTAATATTAAGTGAACTCGAATGCATTTATCTGATCACCAACAAGGTTTCAAGGACATTAACCAGCTGGCATCTTGTTAATTACATATGTTGCAGAGGGAGCAATGTATTCCCCCACTTTACTTCCTCTCTTGATCTAACCCATTAAAAGTTACCTTTCACATGCTGTACCTATCATGGCAATTTGCTAGCCAATAGATAGTCAAGAGTGGCAGTTTTAGTATTCAACATTGTGCCAGTAGTGGGATATATAGCGGCAAGATATCCTCCAGGATCTTCTGGAAGACCTCCCTAAATGCAGGAGGATCATATCCAATCCTCACCCAGCTATAAGGATGTAGCTATCGGAAATTAACTGGACACTTTGCTACCGTTGCCACTTCTCCCTGCTCCCAACTAGGATTTGATTACTGGACTTGCCATAAATACAAAAAAAAAAAATGCCCCATGTTATGAAGTGGCAGCAGCGTAAATGTATATGCTTCAAAGTTTCTGTATTTACATCACCACCACCACTTACTAATATGGGCCACAATGATCTGGGGTTGCTGGAAATCACAGATCCGGACCCTGCAGATCTCGAGGGGCCACTGTCTCAGTTTGTTCAATAATATGTAAGCCACACATTTATTTCGTTAGCAGGGATGCAGCTTTGTTTGCTTTTAAATATTTAGATGTTTATATTTGTAACAAAAGGAACTTATAAGACCAAATAGTTTAAAATATTGGTAAGTTTTTTATATGTTAAGTATACTATGTTTTTAAAATGTAGACTAAAATAATAACCTACTAAGAAATTGTAAGACTGATTAGCAAGCATAACATATTCCACATTTACATTATAGTGCTATCATCAATTCACTTTTAAGGAATTATTTAGAAACTTGCCAATAAAAAAATATTATCTTTTGTTTTGAGGCTAATGTTTTAATTTCATATTGTTACTATAAGGGATTCTTCTTGTATTTTTAGAATCTAATGAAAGAGTTGTGCTTAATAGTAATAATGTAAATAGTAACTCCCCTCCAAAGTAGAAGGGTTTAGCCTTTTTTTAAAGATGAGATGAGGATATATCTACAGAATGTTAACTGACATTTTTCCATAACTGAAACAGTGTCTTTCACAGTTAATTGTCTACATTAATATCAATTGTCTTGTATGTAGAGCATGGTGTTAATAAAATATATCATCAAAACATCATTTTCTTGGGCAGGCCACATTCATCACAATGGGTTTCGTACAGAACTTCCTAATAAGATATGATCACAGTGTGGAAGTTGTTCCAAGTGAAATAGTTAACACGTGTTGAAGACTATACAATTTGGTTCTAGCGTGTATACTGTTATTCCTCTGCTTTATAGACATTAAGGGCTATTTTATAACCTATTTGAATGTCATAGATGAGAAATAAAAAGACCACAATTTCACAGGCATTTAGGCATAATATTGGCAAGATGATACAGAATAATTAAGCACTTTAAAGTCCCTTTAGTTTGTTTTTATAATATTAATGTTCCAAACTTCCATGGGTTCCACATGGGCTTCCATCCCAGGGACTGACGCAGCACTGCAGAGTCTGACCTACTCAAAGGCATGAAGTTGGCTCTATATCCCATAAATTTCAAAGGGAAGAAAATTAAGCATATGCTTATTATACTCACTGAAACCAGTGAGTTTTAAATATGCCTAACATAGGCTGTTCTGTGCCTTATTTAAATAACAGTATACACTGTAAAATATAGTCCATAGCAACTGGATACACAAAACCTGAAAGATCATCTTGATCCAGCTGCCATGTTCAGACACAGGTTTTATGCAGGATGGAGTCCCAAGTGCAAATGAGTGTGGTGTGTACAGCTCTTCTCTTTCATCCAGTAAATGGAGCTGCACACTCGGAGATCTTTCATCCCAATTAAAATCCCACTGTTCAACTGTTTTGGAGAAAGGTTGGAATCGTTTTCTCTTTTCCCATGTAACAGTTGATTGGAAAAGTATTTGATTGTTTAGGAGATTCTGTGCATGTTCCCTTGGATCAGAGTTAACGCCTGCTCAAATTATATATACATTGAAGGAGACATTCAGAACAAACATAATCATTTATACATTTAGAGTTTTCTTTAAAAAAATAATGGAACAATAACAATGGAAATAAATTAAAGTGATTTACAAGTCTCTGTACAAATGATTAAATTAAAAAAAATAAGGCAGGCGTTTTTACTTAAAATTAGCATAATCTGAAAATATATCAATGAAATCTTGTACCACTTTGTAGCAGAATTCATACTGTTCCTGAAAATAAAGAGAGACCAATGTTACATTTGGTTTGCTATGTTTATCGCTGCATTATGAGTCACACAAAGTATTTTAAATTTAAATATCTAATTACAGGATTGTTACAAAGTGTCACACATGGAACATAACAAAGCACCTTATAACATCCAAAGTAGCTATATGCTCGAGTAAAAGCCGAGTTTTTTAGTCTTTTTAGGCTGAAAAAGCCCCCCTTGGCTCATACTCAAGTCAAAGTTATTTATTATTTTACTCCGTTATCATTATTATTATTGTTATTATTAAATTTATTATTTTTACTGTATTATTTTATTATATTTATTATTTTACTCTATTCTTGTTATTACATTTGCATTATTTTACTCTATTATTATTACATTTGTTATTTTACTCTCTATTATTATTGGAAGGATACAGAGGCACATTTATATTGAAGAAGGTTTCGGTGGTGACCAGGGGAGCATTTGCGCCCGTACCTTGGGAAGTCTGACTTGGCCACAGTAGTCCATGCTCTGGTTACATCCTGTATAGACTACGGCAACATGCTCTACGTGGGGCTGCCTTTGAAAACTGCTCAGGAGCTTCAAATGATCCAACAGATGGCAGCCAGGTTATTAACAAAGGAGCGTACAACACCTCTGTTGCGCCAACTCCACTGGCTGCTAGTTTGCTACCGGGCACAATTCAAAGTGCTGGCTTTAGCCTTTAAAGCCCTAAACAGTTCTGACCCAGCTTACCTGTCCAAATGCATCTCTTCCTACGAACCATCTAGGTCTCTAAGATCATCTGGGGAGGCCCTGCTCTCGATCCCGCCTCCTTCGCAGATGCGACTGGCTGGAACGAGAGACAGGGCCCCTCGACTATGGACTCTCAGCGGTGGCCCCTCGACTATGGAACGCCCTCCCTAGGGATATCAGATCGGCCCCCTCCCTCCTAAGATTTTGAAAAGGAGTTAAAACCTGGCTCTTTGAGCAAGCATTTGCAGATGCAGTGTAACAAGCTAATTTAGATTCACGGAACGATTGGACATGCGACTGGGAAATGATTTTAGTAATGAGACGCTGAGGACTTGTGTTTTATTGTTTTTATATGGTTTATACTATGTTAATGTTTTAACTATATTTTATGTTGTTGGAGGCATTGAATTATGCCAATTGTAAACTGCCTTGAGTCGCGTTCGGGCTGAGAAAGACGGTATATAAATATGGTAAATAAATAAATATTGGCATCTATTTTTATTTTGAAATTTATCAGTAGCTGCTGCATTTCCCAACCTCGGCTTAATACTCGAGTCAATATGTTTTCCCAGTTTTTTATGGTAAAATTAGGTGCCTTGGCTTATATTTGGGTCAGCTTATACTCAAGTAGGTTTCATCTGTGGCATTGGAAGAAGAGGAGCTGTTAGGAGTCATTTTATATCCTAAGAGACTTATTTTTGGGAATGTTAATCTCTTTAATAAAAACCCTTTCAAAACTTTCATTGTTGCAGTGTAGTTAATGAACAAGTAACACTGCCAGAAATATGGCCACCGCTTTAAAATGTAGCAACACAGCTCAGGTTCGCACTAGAAATGGAGTTTCAATGACAGATGGAGAGGTCTGTGTAACTCTCTTCTGCATAAATCTCATCAAGAAAACTGTGATAGGGCCACCACAACTCAGTCAGCTTGAAGACACAAAACAACAATAGCAAATTCAGGATTTAGTGAACCCAGTCTACACACTGATGGCTTACAGAACTGTTCAGATGGTTTCCTGATTATGAACTATTTATTCAGTTATTTCTAATTTCCTATTTTTAACTGCCTCACAAGAGGAATACATTGAGGACACCTAAGCTACACTCCTGTATGCTTATCATTAAACTCCATTAGGTCTACATCTGTAGACATGGATAGGATCACATGCAATTTATTTCTTTATGTGCAATTTGTTTATCCATGTATGTATGTATCCTGTCTAGCACAAAAACAAATATATTATTCAAGGCTTTGGCAAGGAGCAAACAAGGCTCTTTTTTTAAAAAAAAGTCTATCTTAAGGAAATACAGCAAAGCTTCAGTTTTGTTCATTCAAAATATAAATACCCTTTAATCCTTTGACAATTATATTTGTGGTTAAAACAACATACCAGTGTTTGCACCATGTGTGGTCTTTGCAGTCGTAAACTCTTCACAGCTTGAAAAACATCTAAGAGCCCCTCTGCTTTGACTCGCTCCAGAATATTGCTGAGTGCTATGAATGTACCTGTTCTCCCAGCTCCAGCACTATTGAGACAAATAGGTTTCTTTGCTTTAGCAAGACAACATGAAAAAACCCAAGTGCAATGCAATAAAAATATATCTTGAATTAAATCCCTGCTGATGAAAATAACCAGTCCACTGTATAGTTCCTCTGTCTTTCTCCAGGACTGAGAAACAATACCCTGTATAGATCTGCGTAATTTAAAGAATTCTTACAAGCATTATAATTTAGTTTAAGTAGTCATGGAGGATTTTTTTTCATTTTTCCCATGAAGATAAACACGACTAAATTATACACTTATATTCCTCTTATCTTGTTTTTTTGTTTTTGTTTTTTACATTCAGTGAAAGCTAAATGGTGGGATTACTTTATGCACACAATAATTTGCACACTGCTATTGATACATAAATAAACAATATCTACATTTCAGGTTGCTCGTTTTGCTAAGCGAAGGTATGCCTCCATTCATAGAGAACGGAATTCAACAAAAGCTTCCTGCTAAAGGAAATGTGGGCTGCTTTCTTTCACCTATAGCTTTGAGCACTATTTCCATGTCACTCTGAAGATCTTGCAATTGTGTTGTCAAAGGCTTTCATGGCTGGAATCACTGGGTTGCTGTGTGTGATTTTGTGCTGTATGGCCATGTTCCAGAAGCATTCTCTCCTAGCATTTCGTCCACATCTATGGCAGGCATCCTCAGGTTGTGAGGTCTGTTGGAAAGTAGGCAAGTGAAGCTCATATATCTGTGAAATGTCCAGGATGGGAGAAAGAACTCTTGTCTGTTTGAAGCAAGTGTGAATGTTGCAGTTGGCCACCTTGATTATCAGTGAATGGCCTTGCAGCTTCAAAGCCTGGCTGCTTTGGGCCTGGGGGAATCCTTTGTTGGGAGGTATTAATTGGCTCTGATTGTTTCATGTCAAGAATTCCCCTTTTTTAGTGTTGCTCTTTATTTACTGTCCTGATTTTAGAGTCTTTAAATACTGATATCCAGATATTGTTCATTTTCATTATTTCCTCCTTTCTGTTGAAATTATCCACATACTTGTTGATTTCCATGGCTTCCCTGTGTAGTCTAACATGATAGTTATTAGAGTGGTCCAGCATTTCTGTGTTCTCAAATAATATGCTGTGTCCAGGCTGGTTCATCATGCACTTTTTATGTGATCATCAATTGGCTTATGATGACATCAATATCTAACAGAATACCAGCTCTCTCAATTAAACTAAATAATCAAGAGAGGAACACTTGATACATTAAGTACAAATATTTTACCTGCAGTGCACTGTAATCGGATGGTTTCCTGTCTGCTGTTGTTGTTTTTGGACAGCTGCAATGAGGTCAATCATTCCTTTCCCTTCAGCAGGAATTCCAATTTCAGGCCATCCATGAAAATGAAACTGTCGGACCAGTCTGCCTTGCTTCTCCTAGTTATTCAAAAGCCAGAAAGTCACACATATTATTAAATGGGAAGACAGGCAGACAAATATCAGTGTGCTGGAAGAAGCAAAGACCACCAGCACTGAAGCAATGCTCCTACACCATCAACTCCGCGGGACTGGCCACGTTGTCTGAACGCCCGATCACAATCTCCCAAAGCAGTTACTATACTCCCAACTCAAGAACGGAAAATGGAATGTTGGTGGAGAGGATTTAAAGATGGGCTTAATGCTAAACTTAAAAACTGTGGCATAGACACCAAAAATTTGCAAGCCCTGGCCCTTGAGTGTTCTAACTGGAGGTCAGCTGTGATCAGCAGTGCTGCAGAATTTTAAGAGGTACAAATGGAGGGCGAAAGGGAGAAACGTACCAAAAGGAAGGCATATCAAGCCAACCCTGACCAGGACTGCCTTCCACCTGAAAACCAGTGTCCCCACTGTGGAAGAACATGAGGATCAAGAATCTCCACAGTCACCTATGGACCCACTGCCAAGACCTTAAGCTTGGAAGGCCATCATACTCAGACAACGAGGGATTGCCTAAATAACGTAAGTAAAAAGGAAATAAATATTTTAAAACTGGAACTCAAACATAATTTAATGGGCCATTTCTTGTAGTGTGGTTGCATTGTTTAACTGCTCAATGGATACAAACCAAAACGAATATCAGTTTATAGGAGTATCTTATCAAGGGTTGTAAATTATTGGTTTACAACATGCAAGTCAATGTGAAGCAAAACATAGTTCAGAAAATCCTCTGCAAATAAGAAATATTTTAAAAGTGATCCATCATACCTGACTGTGTGTAATCAAAAAGTCCCGTACACTTATGGCATCAGCAAGCAAGTCGCTCTTGATTTCAATAGTAATTTCTCCATAAGTAACAGAGCCCTCTGATGGCCAATATTGAAAACATTTTTCCTGTAGTTTGAAAAAGAAGGAATAAAACTCTCTTTATTCATGCCACTACAGGAATTCTATTACATTAATGGTTTTCAGAAACTAATTATGTAAGAACTAATTCTAGTTTTATTTTTTCCCCACATACTGCACACCATTTAATAAACATTTAATGTATCACTACTTCAAAACAAGGGATTTTTAAGAGTGCTGGATAAATTGTGCTATTGTTTACATATAGATGGTGCTATATGACCACAATTTATCTACATTATTTTGGATGACATCTCCCATAATCCCCAGTAAGTAATCATGCTATCTGAGGATTATGGAATTATAGTACAAAATCCAACTTTTCATGGCTATACGCCTGATATGCAAATTTCAAATAGTTTCAAAAACTAATGGTAAAATTCAACATTATTCCTATTCAGAAGAGACACACGCCCCTTCCACACAGCTGAAGAAAATCCCACATTATCTGCTTTGAACTGGAATATATGTCAGTGTGGACTCAGATAACCCAGTTCAAAGCAAATATCGTGGGATTTTCTGCCTTTATATTCTGGAATATAGGGCTGTGTGGAAGGGCCCTCAGTGACATGAATGGAATGAATTCGTCACAGTTAATTTGAGCTCCACTGATTTCAATAGTTCTTTGCTAGGTAGGACGAAAATAGGATTTAGCTCAGTGTATTTTAAAAGAAGAGAAACAGTTAAATGCTTCACACATTTTTTTCTGATCTTAACATTTCTAGCAGTTACAGATATCCATTTAACTATAAAATGTGTTATATTCAAACTTAAAAGTCTGAGTACAGAAAATCCTTCTTGTCATGATGCAGCTGTGGACACTCGAGTGCAGTCTAGCAAAAGCTAAGCAAGCACTGTTAAGCCCCATTGACATCTGAACACCCAACTGAGCACACTTACTTGCAATTGATTTCTCAGGAGCTTTATTATGTGTAACTTTTTCCAGAGTGTGACAACTTTGAACTGAGACATCTGTTTCTAAATATGCAATATTGAGGATGGCAAGGCCAAGTTAGGGCCCTTCCACACAGCCATATAATTCAGAATATCAAGACAGAATAACCCACAATATCTGCTTTGAACTGGGTTTTCTGAGTCCACACTGCCATATATCCCAATTCAAAGCAGATAATGTGGGATTTTCTTCAGCTGTGTGGAAGGGGCCTTAGACTTGCCTAGTTCTTGCCAAACTCTAGGCATAGCTTGATTCTGGGCATGATATGGCTCAGAAAGGACACAGCTGCAACCAGTACTTGTTGGCCAATTTCTAGATAAGGGGGTACCTCTTAACCAAGAGCATCATTTCATTTTGCAAGGAGAGAGTTCAATAGCTTCTGTATTGGATTACTCCCAACTAGACTGCTAGGGCACCACACTATTTTTACAATCAATTTTTGGATCTTATTATGTGGGATTCGTTCAAAACAAACTTATTTTCCCCTTGTTCTCATTTTACAATTACGGGTAACAAGACAACACAATGCAAATAACATTGGGCAAAATGATCATACTTGCTCTCTTTCCAGAACTTCGGTGAGCATAACAATTGTGTGGCATTTCCATTCCCACACCATTCTCCAGAAGTCTTCCACTGTATGAGGAAGTGGTCCTTGAGTTGCAATGAAGTAATCCTTTTGCCGATAGCCCTTTGTGCCAAAAGAAACAGACAGCATCTTATGAATCGACAGAGATTTAATTCTGTTCAATCTACAGGTCATTCTAAAATTATCAGCATATTTCTTTGGGAATTTTTATAAAGCTCCCATCTGTGCCGCTATAATTAAAATTAATTCTTAAGTAGGGACGTTAAGATATTCAGTGAAATTCATTTTCTGTATTTCCTAACACTAAGGAAAGCAAGGTAGAAAAATAACAAAACTAGTAAGAGTTTTGCAGAGTTTTTCCCACCAAGTAAATAAATGATTTAGGAAACTATTTTGTGCAAAATTTCAAAATATAAAAACCATTGTTTAACATCTGGAAAATTCCATTTTGGGGGGAAAACCTAGCCATCTTGCATCACAACCCATGTAGCTATCTGGAAATATTAGGAGCTGCGGCGGCGCAATGGTTAAATCCTTGTGCTGGCTGAACTATTGACCTGAAGGTTGGCAATTCAAATCCACCACACGGGGTGAGCTCCCATCTGTCAGTGCCAGCTTCCAATGTGGGGACATAAGAGAAGCCTTCCACAGGATGGTAACACACCCAGGCATCCCCTGGGCAACGTTCTTGCAGACAGCCAATTCTTTCGCACTAGAAGCGACTTGCAGTTTCTCAAGTAGCTTCTGACATGGAAAAAAATCTGGAAATACTGGGGGCTTTCTCTCAAAAATGTTTTTCTTCTGCTTGCAGCAGGGAAAAAGTTCCAGGAATAATTTTGTCCTTAGTGAGGATGGAACATTCAAATATCTACAACCTTACTTTCAGATCAACGAACATAATGAAGGAATTAAGTTAAGCTAAGTTTAGCCAAGGCCTTTATTTCAATAAAGAGATATATGGATTTTGGGATCTACAAATGGAAGGCAAATTACTTTTTGGCACCATTTCATAAAATATCAGAAAAATTATAGTTTCATTGAGTTATTAAATAAAGATTCTTTGTACTTAGCAAAAGGTGATGGGGAACCAAATTCAGAGAGAGAACCAGAATTGGAATGTCAGCCTCCTAAGCTACTTTTCATATCATTATTTGCAAAAACAAACAAACAAACAAAAAGAGATGACCTTAGGGATAAAAAGAAGGGCCTCACAGGACTATACAGAAGGATATACAATTTTGGTGAAGAATGCTTGTATAAAAAGAAGCTGGAGGAGGAGGAATCTCTTATGTAATGGGTTGAGCTCCAGATATGGAATCCTGTTTCTGCTTTCTTGTAACTAAAAGGAAACCCTTAAATATTGTCAACTGCCATTAAGTTGACTTCAACGTAATACAATCTCGTGTCTGAGAGACCTCCAAGTTGCCCCATCATCAGATTTGCAATCTGAGGGTCATGGATACCCTAATTGAATCTATCCACCTGGAATGCGGTTTCCTTCTTTTCATAGTGCCTTCTACCTTACCAATCATTATTGAATCATGTATTTTTTGATACCTGATGGAATTAAAAAAAGAAAGACCAAAGATGCATGCTTTTCTCTCTTCACACTTTAAATAAAAAGTTTTTTTAAATGGTATTTCCTCCCAAATCTCAAGTTACTTTTTAATGTAACTCACATGAAAATGAGAAAATCACACATGCTTCCCAAACCAGTCCTGAACAGAGCTCATTGTTAAAAAGACTTAAGAAAATCAAGGGTTACAATTCAATATCAGAAAAATACTTACATCTATGAAAGAAGCATTGATATAATCTGTGTATTCTTGACCTCTTTTCATGGAAAGAATCACTCTGTTAAAGTCATCTAAAATAGAAAAAAGGAACCTCAAAACCCAACACATATTAGATTTGTTAAAATATTAAGTATTTTACATTCAATATACAAACGATGCCCTGCAGGCTTTTATAGAATCAGGTTTATGATATGATTTGCTTGTATGTCCAGCAGTGCCACCTGCTGCTGAATGTATCACATCACCGTTCTGTGTTAATATTTTGCATCATCATCATTATTATTATTATTATTATTATTATTATTATTATTATTATTATCTTTATTTACACCCCACCTTTCTCTCCGTGGAGACTCAAGGTGATTAACAATCCCATGCTAAGTTTAAAAAGTGCAATACAAAAGTTAAAAACAATAAGATAGTAACAGTGTGGTAAAAACAGATTAAAATACAATAAATACACTTTAAACGGCCTTTAAAACTGTATTAACAACAGTAAGTGTACAATTCTCTTATTAGTGAAATTATTACACAATTTCTAAGAAGAGAAAAATTAAATATCTTACATGGGATGATTTGTATAACTCTGGCTTTCTTCATATTTGCTGGCAGATTACCAGTTCTCATGTTTTCCTTCATAATTCGAACATTTGTCAATTTCTACAGCAAATGAGTACAAACTAAAATTAGGCAATGAAATTTTGGATTAGTAAAATAGCTCACACTTTCAAATCTGAATTCAGGTATAATCTAGTTCAGTGGTTCTCAACATGTGGGTCCCCAGGTGTTTTAGCCGACAACTCCCAGAAATCCCAGCCAGTTTACCAGCTGTTAGGATTTCTGGGATTGAAGGCCAAAACATCTGGGGACCCACACGTTGAGAACCACTGATATAGTTGATACATCTGACCACCAGAGACCCTGGTGGCACAATGGATTAAATCCTTGTGCTGGCAGGAAGGTTGGTGGTTCAAATCTGGGGAGCGGGGTGAGCTTTTGTCTGTCAGCTCCAGCTTACCATTCAGAGACATGAGAGAAGCCTCCCATAGGATGGTGAAACATCTGTGAGTCCCCTAGGCAACGTCCTTGCAGACAGCCAATTCTCTCACACCAGAAGCGACTTGCAGTTTCTCAAGTCGCTCCTGGCACGAAAGAAAATCTGACAACCAACCATGCAATGCTGTCTTCACACATCCTCTTACATTCCACTTATAGACGTGTATAAAATGTTTAAAAGAACTGTGAAGTGTATAATGCCCAATAATTATTTTATTTCTTGCAAATAAAAGAAGAGAGGGAGATATAAAGACTGGAAATATGTATCCCTCCAGTTAAACTGTGATAGTGAAGATGTTTGCAAACAAATATCGAGTGAAGTCCTAATTTATTTTGTAGGAATTTGTTTATCATCTTTCAACACAGCAGTGAAATTTCCATTTGTTGGAAAAAGCAGCCTTCTTCAAGTCTCCACTAGTTATTTGTTATATGCATGTTTCAAATTGCTTACACATATTATATATGTGTGTATTGGTATGCAATTTTCTCTTTAACTCTGTTGTGGGAGAGGCCACAGACCATGTGATCAGGTCTGGGCTTGTTCAGGATTCTGACTCCCTTTTAGAACGGCAGAAGCCATTAGACTTCCAATGCTTAGCCTTCAGTAGGAACTGTATGCTTTAGACTTCAGCAGGAACAATATCCTTAGAGACTCCATTGAACTTTCAGACTACAGCGACTCTATTAAACTCTCAAAATAGAGAGATGCTTTAGATTAGGGACTGTTAAGATTCAAGAAACGATGCCCTGTGTTACTTACACAGACAAACAACTTCAAATCTTATTTGTAATTGGATTGATATGCAAAGTACCTGTATGCTGAATACATGAAGTCTGTGAGTAAACAAACTATGTTACTTTTAAAGATGTCTACTATATTTTTGTCTCTTGAAAGCATGATTTAAGGGCAAAGATATTTTAAGAGAGAGCAGATGCTTTTGGGCAACTAAAAGGAACACTTCTGAAACTCTGCTGAATGTGTATTGTGTGTTGGCATATCTTTGTCCTTACAGTTCAAAGAAATGCTTAGGTATATCAGTTTAACAGCTGAGAAACTGAATTGCCTTGCATGAATGCCATTTTTCCCAAAAGGTTATGGCATCATTTTTTCAAAAGGTTTTAACTTCTAACAAGGTCATGCTTTTCCAAAGATCATAAAATCTCCAAAAGGTTATTTAGATTTCAGTTTTCCAAAACCATTTATATTACAATCTGTTATATGCCTTCATATGAGTGAAAGAAAAAACAGATTTTCAATGCACCATCCAAACATGTAACAGCCAACATGGTGCTGGGGTTTCAATATTGGCCTTGGACTCTGAGAGACTAAGATTTGAATCCCTGCTTGGTTACAGAATATCACTTGTCATACTCTCTCAGCCTCAGAGAAAATAAATGACATCCCCCCTCTGAACAAATTTTGTGAAGAAAAGCTTTAGAGTCAGAGTAAAATGAATAAATATTGTTGTCTGCATCGTGATTCACACACTGGACCTCTGCAAAAATACGATTAATGCTTACTTTAAATTCTTCTTCGAGCCCTATTTTGACGAGATTTGGCGCTGTGTTCTGTGATGGCTGCAGGTGCTTTTCTAAAGAAGACACATCTAGCTCCGTGTCACCATAGAGGTAGTATTCAAGTAAGGCTTGATAAATGAAGGAGTACTGCATCTGTCAAAAATAAAGGTATTCTGTGAACCAGAACGTTTGAGGCATTGTAAATAACCTACCCCTAGATCTATTGGATACCTCCACTGTTTCTCCTAATAGCCTGCCTGTTTTCTGGTTTGGTAGGCAAAAATCTGAATTTTCTAATCAGAAAAAAATCTGTTGCTTTGAGAAGAAGTAGGTTAATTGGATATATTGTTTGATTGTAACAGTAAATTATGGTTTATTCGTTGTGGTTTAAATTATGGTTTATTATTAAAGGAATAAGCTTGGGTGTGCCCTAGCTTCACATCCTCCCATTTTCATTCCCACTTTGACTGCCTATTCTATTCATTTCTTCATGTGTAGAGCTTAGCCAAAACCAGTAATCTGGGCATATATTAAGCCCAAAGCTCTATACAGACTTAAAGTTGCTTTGATTAACATCAAAGTGACCAATCATAGGAGTTCTGATATACAATGGGACATGATTAGAAGAAACTATGCCAAGGTTTAAGAAGCTACTAGAGAAGATCAGAAAACTCTGCTTTCATTTTCAGATCCCCAAATATGGACCAGCCAATAAACTGTGGCTATTAAAAACAGAAGCAGAGACTACATAACTGTGGTAGTACTGGGGGAGGTAAGAGGAAGAAGGTAAAAGCTGTTCATTCCCATAAGTGATATTTATATCTGGATGAAGCCTGAGGATCAATAAATTGACTTGGTTTAAGGTGGCATCCAGAAACTGGTGGCGTAAGAACACCCGACATGCTCTCTGGTCACTGATAAGATGTATAGTGATTTATTTTCTATAGGTTGGAACTATATGTTGAAGAGTCCTAGCTCCTGCCAACCTAGCAGTTTGAAAATATGCAAATGTGAGTAGATCATTTGAAGCCTGCTGTTAGCTAGAAGTAACAACAGGTGAGCTCCTGCTGTTAGTTTTAGCTCCTGCCACCTAGCAGTTTGAAAACATGCAAATGTGAGTCAATATGTACTGCTTCAGCGGGAAGGTAATAAAGGCGCCCATGCAGCCATGCTGGCAACACGACTAGAAGTAGTCTATGGACAACAGGTTCCTCGGCTTGGAAATGGAACAAGAGCACCTCCCCATGACCAGAGTTGAGCACCACCTCCAGAAAGCCGGAGATGAAAGGGGAAGCCTTTACCTTTGTTCTGTGTATTTGTGTGTTATTGTTATTCCACTGCTTATCTGTATATGTTGTAATCTGCTCTGAGTCTCCTTGGGGAGATAGAGCAGAATATAAATAAAGTGTTGTTGTTATAAATTATTTTTCCTTTGTAGTTATGTTGATGAAGTAGTAATGTAATACAGAGAACAATATAAATGGAAGTTAAATGTCTCTATTTATATGTGCATCTAGTTCTTTAATTGTTATAACTTACATTTCTAAATTCCCACTTGGTCATGAAACCTATTGGATGACCTTGTACAAGTTATACTCTCTAAGCCTCAGAGGAAAGCAAAGACAAAACTCCTCTGAGCAAATCTTGCCAAGGAAACCCCATGACAGGGTCATCTTAAGGCCACCATAAATCAGAAACTACATATGTGATAATATCACAGACTGCAACAGTTTATTTTAGCATAAGGATAAAGCAATAAACAACAACAACATAACAGCAACAGTGTATTGGTTCTGCAGAGTATGCTAATTTTTCTGCTATCCTATAGTGAAAAGGTGGGTGCTTTTAATGAGATGCATTAGATTTAGGCTGGATATACACTGCCCTATATCCCAGGATTTTATCCCATTATCTTCTTATCCCAGATTATCTGGCAGTGTAGATTCATATAATCCAGTTCAAAGCAGATAATCTGGGATTAGATCCTAGGATGTAAGGCAGTATAGATCCAGCCTTAGCTGATACTATCCTCTCAAATTCTAACCGAGTTCCCACATTTTAAATATATTCAAAGTGGGAGTTTCTTACTTACATCAGTCTGAACCATTTGTGGGCGCTGGTTGCGAATTCGTGCTACAAAATCAAATATATCAATCTTTTGTTCTGCATGCATCATGTCAATCATGGCATCTATTACTACGAATGTGCCTGTCCGACCCACACCAGCGCTTTGAAAGAAAAGAAAAGACACAATTGAGTCAAGGCACGCTGCAGTAATTCATCTGAATTTATAGCTGTCTTGTCTGAAGGATCCTTGCTCTCAATATTCCTGTTTTTCTTTGTTCTTGTTAGGACTGCATGTGAATTATTTTGAAACTTGGCAGGCCTGCAGTTGTAAATGGGGTCTAAAACTGAGTTAGGTTTCATGCAGATAGGCCTTAAAATGGCTGAGGATTGAGCCTTTAAAGTTTCCTATTGTAGCCGATGGGCCAAATCTTTGCCGAATGAAAATGGCAACACCCCTCCCCATTTGAGTAACTTCCCGATAAACACAATGAGGGGTCAGCATGCCTTTTGGGTGAATTGTACATCTCTAATGCTAATACAGTAAATATTACCTAGTATTTAATATATAAATATAAGAACAGCCACTAGAGGGAGCATACTATCTACTGAATACTGATTAAAATATTATTCCAAATGACTTTAAACTTTGTTTTCAGAGGGAAAGGGCATGGCTTCCTGAACAAGGCACAAATATTTATCTTGCACTTGATTTGTTTGTTTTCCTCTATTCTTGCTATAATGCATGTGCTCCAGATTTCAAAATAGCAAACTGCTATTACATTTCTATCACATGTACAATTCAGAGTGCATCTGTTTCTCCTAAAGGAAGATATGGAGTTAGATTTTATGAGGAACAGATTTCATTTTGACATGTTAACCCAAGATTGATTGTAAGCAGAGTTGATGCATTCATGATTCACCTTTCTTTCTCCCTATTTCCTAGATTAAGAAATAGGATTTTTTGGTACTGGAGGGAACTAGATAGAAGGCCATGGAAATATTCTCAAAAGTATACATTGTTCAAATTTGTTTGCTCTCCTGTTTCCTCCTGATCTCTTTTCATTTTTGTATTGCACCTAAGTTAACAAGCAACAACTGTGTTTTAATGGGGTTACATCCAGTTGGGTTATGAGTTTTTCAGACTGTATGGCCATGTTCCAGTAGTATTTTCTCCTGACGTTTCACCTGCACTGACCTCTGAGGATGCTTGCCACAGATGCAGATGAAACATCAGGAGAGAATGCTACTCGAACATGGTCATAAAGCCCAAAAACTCACAATCACCTGGTGATTTTGGCCATGAAAGCCTTTGACAACACATATATCCAGTTGTATTTTCAGTACTGATAGAAAGGGGGGGGGGGGGTGGCAGAGGATTGATCTGATTATCATTTTCTGAAATCATCCCCCCTCCAATCTACTCCAAAGGGTTGGAGTATTGATTAGAACAGTGAATAAGCTGATATCAGGTGCTATACAAGAAAGAGAAAATTTAAGAAAAATCACTTTCCCTATCAATCTGCTGGCTGAAGTCTTGATTGAACAAAAGAGCCTCAATTAGCAGTGGGTACAACTGTGCTTCAACTTTAACACTGCAGATGTTTTATAAATACATACACATATTTATATTAAGGAAATAGTTTTATATGGTGAGCTATATTTGAAATGACTGAACTATATTTGAAGGGAAATTTGGAAGCTGCAATATTAGAATTTGCCTGAAGAAAGGGGGAAAAAAACTGGGCTATTTAGTAATGATTAAAATGATTACTGTGGCATAAGCCACAACTAATAGCATCCTATTACAACACAGAAGGGGACAAATTAATCCCTACTAATCACAGAAAATAAACTATCCAAACCTCTTGGTGGAGCTCTTTGAGAACTCTCTTTTTCTGATACGTTTTGCATTGACAAAAATTCAATTTCTGTAGCTATCCTTTTCTGAACTGAGTTTCTCACCCCACATATCCTAACATACTGGAATTGAGTATGAAAAAGTGCTCCATCACATTGTTTTAGATTGTGGTAGAGTCCAAGTGTCTTTGGCTAAATACTGAAGATGCTTTTTAATAACTTTAGATGACTATCTGTCAGAACAAACAAAGATTCATTCAGTCCAACATGTTATTTTCCATAGAATCCAATGAGATGCTTCCAAGAAGCCATATGGAGGGCTCAAAGTCAACTGTCCTTCTCTGTAGCTGATACTTAGAGACAAATCACCTCCGAGTCTATATCTTCCTTTAATCACAATAGCTATCACTGTGATTTATTTTCTGTGTTTAATTGTGATTTTATATTGTTTGATGTGCTTTTTATACTGTTTATTGTATTGTATTTTATTTTTATTTTTTATTTTATTGTTGTTGTATGTTGTTATTAGCATTGCTGTACTGTATTGTAGGGCTTGGCATCATGTAAGCCTCTCCGAGTCCCCTTGGGGAGATGGTGGCGGAGTATAAATAAAGTATTATTATTATTATTATTATTATTATTATTATTATTATTATTATTTCCAGTAGCAACCAGTGGTACCTATACAGTCTTCCTTTAAAGACATCTAAAATACATCTAATACCCTGACTACATTATGTGGCAGTTAAATTTGCAAATCATACTTGCTATTTTGTCCCCTATGCTAATCTTAAAAACAAGACATTAAATGTACATCAATTTGTTCAATATTTACTGAATTCCAAAGATCCCTGGATTCATGCAGACATAGTGGAAGATTTTTTTACTGATATTGACTTCTGCCAGCAATAACTTAATGGCTCTTGGGAGTGTGCTCTTCTGGATTTTCAGCGTGTTTAGTGGCAGCTTATGAAGTGTGGCTTCGTAAACTGCCACTACTAGAAGTGGAGATGAATGTGAGCACAAAACTCACCCATAACATGTCCCATCTTCTATCAGTCTCCACAGTCTTCTCTTGCCCTTGCTAAAAATATCCAGCTCCCTAAGCTGTTCAACATAGGCCTCAACGCATTATTACCATGTTTACCTTCCTGACATTTTTGTTGATATTTTTATTCATAGTTTTCTTCAACAAGGGAACCTGAACTAACATGAAATAACACTGCTATTTCTCTTGATCTGGACATTGCCATTCTGCTGATGCAGTTGCATTGACTTTTTTGCCACTCCACTACATTATAAGCATTAGATGTCAAATGTCACCCATCTGGTATTTATGTATCTGATTTGTTCTGCCCAAATGCAGAATCTTATTTTAATAATTTTAGTTTTGCCCAACTTTTCAAATCTGATAAGATCAGCTTGAATCCCATTTTTACCTTCTAAGATATTAGCAACTGCTGCCTCAGCTTCCCCAAACTGTGGCAGCAGCCCTTGTCAGTTTGTAAACATTTTAAGTTTTGGACTGTCAATCAGAGACAGATGAGCCTAGTATGGCTTTTCCTGATAAATGTCTGCTAAATCTTTATAACCACAGCATTATGTTCCAAATTATTACAGTTTCATTAGAAGTTTAATTCACATTTCCTGGTATCAATATCAAGTGTTAGTGCAAAAAGACTCTCTTTTTTTCCACTTTTGGTAGACAGGGACAACTCTCTCCAGTTTGAAGCAACCTGTCATTTCTCCAATAGTTTGAAAAGTTCTAGATATAGGCTAAGAGATGACACCTACATGTTTAGTGCCCTTCAATGCACTGGAAACCTAAATTAGTAAACATCGATGTAATGTGGAAAAATGTAGGATGGATTCTTGGTCTCGAGAGGCCTGTCTGTTCTATATATAAACTGGGGGATGAAGATGTGTGTTCTTCAATGAAATCTTAGCTTATGCCAAACATCGATATATTTTTTGATAAAACTGTTCCAGAAAGAGAAATATGGGCACTGGTGTTATGAGCCACCTCTCTTTGCTAGGTTTCAGGTTCTCATAAATCAGAGACTGAAAATACCTCTGACATATACCTTTTCTTCCCAATTCCTATTAAAGCAGCTTCCAAAATATTTATGAGTGTGTCTTTGTCCTGCTCCTGTACATTTATGTACACTTACCTGCAGTGAACCACAATTGGCCCAGCATGTGTAGGATTCAATGACTTCACTTTCTTTAGGAATTTGAGCATTCCAATAGGTGTGAAAGGCACTCCAAAATCAGGCCAGCTGGTGAAATGAAGCTGAGTTACAAGTCTTGGAGCTTTGCAACCTTCAGATACCTGCTGGAGACCCAGAAACAAAATATGAATATGACCATTTGTATTGTGAAATAAAATCAGATCATGATGATGATAATAATTATATTTATTTATACCCCGCTTTATCTCCCCCGAAGGGGAATCAAAGCAGCTTAACATAAAAGTTCAATTGCTGATGAGAATGATCCCACCTTCTTTACAATATACATTAGCAACAGAAACTTATTTGGGGATTTGAAAGAAGCCCATTGAAGTTTAAGTTCTTTGAAATTAACTTAATTGCCACAAAATATGAAACTGCAAGTTAACACATTCTCTTTTACAAGATGGAGAAATGAAAGTGCAGAAGTACTTACTACAGAAGATGTATACAATTTCAAAATGCTCACTATAGTCCTAAAGAAAGTACACCTGGTACTAACAATGTATTTCTTTAGGACCATCTTTGTCTATAGAGCCATTTTCAATTATTGTATTCTGAATAGGCTGCATAGTTCAATTTCTATTTTATTATATAGTTTACCACTATATGCTTTATTATTATACTTCTTTAAAAAAATTCTGTTTTAGATATCCTATGGAGTTTTTGGGAAAAGGTGTATTTCATGAAGTCTCAAAATAAAATCTCAAATCTTAGGACCTTATCACACACATTTATACACCATCCTTGACGCACTTTGCCTACTGGTACCTATTACATGACACATGGTTCGTTTCATCAGTCACTCATATGCAAAGAATCTGCCATGATAACTTTTTGTGAAATGAGAAACAATATCATTCTTCTTTAGTTCTCTGCATGTGTCAAAAGCAGTGTTTGTGTGTGAATAAAGCCATAAATGATTTTGGCTTTCCCATTGTTTTCATTTTTATTTATTTTAATTTTTTAAAAATGGAACGAAGCGACTCTGTGGGAACAAAAAGATGTTTTTCATTTCTCCGTTGGGAAGGAGGCAATATACTTGTATGGCTGCAAAAGATTGGACAAAAAAGAAAAAGGAAGACAGTGACATAGAGGAACACTGAATTGATTTAGAGGAGCCATCCCTCACCTGTGTCAAGGTTAAGTCAAACACACATTATTTTATTCGAAATGGAAAGGAGACACACATGTGAGATAGGGTGAGTAGTAGATATCCAGTCCTCATTTAGCGTTCTTAAATTACAGGTTGCCCACTTTAAAATGCTTTTTCTGAAGTGTGTGTGATAAGGCCCTTAGCCTTCATCCATCCATACTTCTTATATAATATTTTAAAAAGAATTCAAGTAGTAACATTTCAACTGGATCCCACAAGTACCATTAAGATTCAACTCAAAGAGCCAAAATTGGTATTAAAAAGTACTGAATTGTGTAGCTCTCCAGATGATGGACTTTGTATCTCAGCAGCCCCAGATAACGCATGGTGGGAGCTACAGTTCAAAATCACTTGGAAAGGTGTATTTTTACATTCCAGCTGTAAAAGCCTTTAGAAGGGATTTGCTCCCAGAAAAAAATTCTAGAGAAGAGGGAAGTAGCGAAATCCAAGCCACTTCATGACAACATGTTGATTAAAACTTTTGTTTGGAATTCCAAATGACATCTCAGTTGAGTCCTGAACAATTATATTATTAAAATCAAAGTAAGCGATCAATGAGAAAGCTTTAAATGAAGGATCCTTTAACAGAAAACATTAAATTTCCAATGTTATTTATTTTTAAAACCATGCTTATTAGTTTGACAGCATCCATAGTATAGTGATTTGAGTGGTGGGCTATGACTCAAATTTCTACTCTGACCCGGAGACCCATTGTGTAACCATGAGCAAGTCATACTCTATCAGCCTCAGAGAAAAGCAAAGTCAAACCCTCTTCAAACAAATTTTGTCTAGAAACCCCATGACAGATTTGCCTTAGAGTCACCGTAAGTTGAAAATGTCTTGAAGACACACTCCAACAAAAGATATTAACACTTACTGACTGAATACAGAACTTCCGAATGGTGTAATCCACAAGCACTATACAGTCTTCCACTGAAACCCGGATGTTCCCGTAAGTCCAGCATCCTTGATCAGGCCAGTATTGGTAACATTTGTCCTATGTAAACAGTATCAACCAAACATATCAGGTCAGACTCTGTTGTGAGTTTTCATGATGGGTTACAATATTATAAAATTATTTTGGAACTACCAAGGATGAGCTTTCCGCTAAATACCAAATCATACTGAGACTTAATCTGATCATAATTATATACAACTCTAATTATATTGTATTGTCGAAGGCTTTCATGGCTGGAATCACTGGGTTGTTGTAGGTTTTTTCGGGATATATGGCCATGTTCTAGAGGCATTCTCTCCTGATGTTTCACCTGCATCTATGGCAAGCATTCTCTGAGGAGAACATGGCCATATAGCCTGAAAAAAAACCTACAACCCTCTAATTATATTCACAATATGAGCAATAGTATGCCTGTGATACCTAAATTCATTTTGTATTTTAATCAGCTACATTGTATGAACCAATAAAACACACAAGAAAGGAAGATTGGGCCTGAACATGCAGGTGAATACCCTAGATTACATGCAGGTGATTGTCTTATGTATGTATATAGTGCAATTTGGCAATTCAAAAATGGCATTGATTTAAGGAGAGAGATATAAGGAAATTATTTGATGTTTGCCATAACTATTAGTCATTATACACACACACACACACATTGCTAACAGATTCAGAAAAAAAGAATACCTTTGCCAACAATGTAGGAAACATTGGTTTAAAACAAATACATCATTGCTAAAAATAGATAAAAAGCTGAGCTTTCACAAGACAATTGTCCTCAAGCTAAAAACATGACTCAAAACTCTGGCCTAGAAATTTACTGGACTAGTCACTAGGGACTTTTTATGAACTGAGAAGATTTAGTTTTCCTTCCACATTGCAGCAATTCTGTGAGAAACCAAAATCTTATTAAAGAACTTGACCAGGAAGTGGTTGTATTAGTAACAGTCTCGTGGGTTATGGGAGAGATGCAAGCAAGATGAAAGAATAACTTCTTGAAAAGTACATCACCTCTTTTCTCTCTTTTATATTTGTTAACATGACAATTGTGGCAGTCTTCTGTTCCCATATCATTCTCCAGAAATCATTTGCAGTGTCTTGCTTAGGACCTATACACAGGATACAAATACTGGATCAAACTATACAGAAACCAAACAATAAACATTAAAACACCAGAAATATGTAGATATCAAACAAAAGCCAGAAATGCTGAAATGGTTTTCATCTAGTATCTAAACAATACATATGCACCATGAAAGGTTATTTGTGAAGGGTGTTACAAAGATGCAAACCAGAAAAAAGAGATTGTGTTTCCCTATGTGAATATTTTACATCAGAATGATCTGAGTCAGTGGTTCTCAATGTTTGGTCTTTCAGATATTGTGGGTCAGCTCTCAGAAGTTCCAGTCAGGATGGCCAACAGTCGCACAATTTGAGAAATGAATTCCCAAATATCTTGATAACTAAAGTTTGAAAACCACTGATCTAAGTTACTGAGTCCCCCTTTACATTGCCATATAAAATCCAGATTATCTTCTTTGAACAGGATTATATGGCAGTGTAGACTCATATGATCCAGTTCAAATAAGATAATCTAGATTATCTGCTTTAATAATCTGGATTATATGGCAGTGCAGATCCAGTCTAGGAAGCAGAAAAAGAGAACTTTCATCTAAGGCCCCTTCTTGACTGCACGACAGTTCCAAGAAAAATGCAGGTAACAAAATCAACCTCTGTACATGGCATTCATTGACCTTGTGAAAGAATTTGACACAGTGAATTGCAGTGCTCTCTGGACCATCCTCCAAAAAATCGGGTGCCCTAACAAATTTGTGAACATCCTGTGGCTCCTCCATGACAGTCTTGCACTGCAATGGCTCCCATAGTGACCCATTTAAGGTGGAGTCAGGTGTCAAACAGGAATGTGTTATTGCCCCATCCTTATTTTCCATCTTCATCACTATGATACTTCATCTTATTTATGGGAAGCTTCCCACTGGAGTGGAAATCATCTATCGGACAGATGGCAAGCTAACCTCAATAGACTGAAAGCCAAAACTAAGGTCACAACAACATCTGTTAAAGAACTCCAATATGATGATGACAATGTAGTCTGTGTGCATTCAGAAGAAGACCTACAAGCCACTTTCACAGAAGCATACGAGAAGCTCAGCCTCTCATTGAACATTGAGAAAAAGTGCTCTTCCAGTAGTCACCAGTCAATCCCTCTGCAATGCCAAAAATATAGCTTAATGGTGTCACATTAGAAAATGTTGACCATTTCCGCTACCTAGGCAGCCACCTCTCCACAAAGGTCAACATTGACACTGAAATAACAACACCGCCTGAGCTCTGTGAGTGCAGCATTTTTCTGAATGAAGCACAGAGTGTTTGAGGACTGGAACATCCGTAGAGATAACAAGGTGCTTGTTTATAAAGCTATTGTTCCCCTAACCTTGCTATATGCCTGAAAAACGTGGACTATCTGCAGACATCACACTCAACTCCTGGAACAATTCCATTTGTATTGCCTCCGAAAAATCCTACAAATCTCTTGGGAAGACAAGCAGACTAATGTCAGCGTGCTGGAAGAAACAAAGACCACCAGTATTGAAGCGATGCTCCTACACCACCAACTCCGCTGGACTGGTCATGTTGTCCGAATGCCCGATCTACATCTCCCAGTGCTCTAACTGGAGGTCAGCTGTGACCAGCAGTGCTGCCAAAACACTACACTTGGAGTACCATCATCCTCAGGTTACAAAGGATCGTCTAAGACAGTAATCCAGATTATCAAATCAAGTAATCTAGATGATCTGATTTGCATTGGATCATATGTGTCTACATTGCCATATAATCCAGTTCAAAGCTGGTAATCTGAATTTTATATGGCAGTGCAGAAGGGGCCTTAGTAACCTCCTGGGTTACATGCTATGAATTGTTGAAGGCTTTCATGGCTGGAATCACTGGGTTGTTGTAGGTTTTTTAGTCTATATGGCCATGTTCCAGAAGCATTATCTCCTGACGTTTTGCCTGTTTCTATGGCAAGCATCCTCAGAGGTTGTGAGGTGTATTGGAAACTAGGAAAATTGGGTTTATATATCAGTGGAAAGTCCAGGGAGAGAGAAAGAACTTCTGTCTGTTTGAGGTAGGTGTGAATGTTTACATGCTAAGTGTTTACCATACATTTTCATACATTTTCAAAAACAATTATATCAAAAATATAGATAGCAGAGATTAGCTCACAGAAGGGATGATATCATGAGCATAATACCCTATTATTATCCTAAGGTTCCAATTTTTAACATTGCCTGAGGTGCTTCTAAGCAAATCAGGCTCTACCTGAGTAATTTGAAGCAGATCACCCATGACTTCTTACTGCCAAGACTTTCACAATAGGAATATTCCATCTGCCCACACCTACCAATTAGGCTGCTGAACCACAAAAAAATTGGGTGGAAGAGAAATTGATTTTTGTCTAAAAGGATGGTGAGCTAATTTCTTGCTCTGAAAAACATGCCTGGGCTGAGATGCACTCCTGATGTTTCCTAATCTTTCATTCTATGTTTATTTCTGGACTTCTTTCTGACTCAGTACTGGGTTAATAAAACATTTTTATCTTGATTTATTTTTTTAAAAAAACCTCAGAGCAGAATATTATAAATAGTATATAATATTATACAATAGAACCAGTACTTAAAAACAAAACAAGAAAGGGTGCATCTTCACTGTAGAATTAATGCAATTTGACACCGCTGTAGCTGCTATGGCTCAATGCTTTCGAAACTTGGGAGTTGTAGCTTGGTGAGGCACCAGTACTCCTTGGCAGAGAAGGCGAAAGACTTTGTAAAACTATAACTTCCCTGAATCCATAGCGTTGAGCCAAACTGTATTTATAGTACAATGTTGATGCAGTTGAAGATAACAAATAAATGGATAACTGAAAATAAGAAAAAGACTCAGGAAACCCAACTTTTTAGTTGATACCTACAAACATTCAAAGTTCATCAGGCATCTAATCTCTATATGGAGAGCTCAGTTTACATGGTAACCTCTGTATAACAATCAAACAAGTCATGATATATTTGATTTGGCTCGCCAGTGGATCTAAAGGAAAGTAGATAGCAAGCTTGAACTCCACCCTCCTGTTTAACTCATAAAACTGAAGCATGAGCAAATGTAATTTAAAAAAACATGGAAACACCTTAAAAGAAGAGATACTTCCTAACATAAGGTATTGGCAAGTTGGTGGTTCACCAGGCCCTATTATGCTGGTCCTGCTAGTATGGAGTAGTAGAAAGCACAAGACAGTAGATAGCTTACAGACAAGAGGAGTGCTGTTTCAACAAACATGCCACCAGACAAGAATTATGTTTAGCAGAGTACATGTGTCAAATTCAAGGTAAGTGGGCCGCATCCAGCTCGCCATGTCATTTTATATGACCCTCCAGGTCCTGGACTATAACTCCTGCATTACTCATCATTAGACATCATGACTAAAGCTGATGGGAGTTGAGATACGGTAATAACAGGAAGGCTGCAGTTTGTTCTGTTTAATCAGGACAATGGGGTTTGGATCTAAATACAAGGCTTGTGGATATGATGTCCAACCTTAAAATGTCCTTTAACCTTTTCCCAACTTCTGAGTCACAAGTGTTGCTCGGTTGTAATTCCCATTATCCCCAGTCTGCATGACGAATAGTCAAAGCGGTATCTAAATTTCCTACTTGACAGATGCAACTGTCTTTCGGGCTGCAAAGGTCGACAGCAAGCTACACAAAATTGGTCAGAAGCTCACTCTGGCCCCGGGCTGGCTTCGAACTCATGACCTTTTGGTTAGTAGTGATCTTAATGCAGCTGACTCCCAGCCAGCTGCGCCACAGTCCCGGTATATGATTTTTTAAACATAATGGTTGGTGCTCTTTAGTTTTTACTTGATTTAGATACTTAGATGCTTACGCGAGGAGGCAAATTTAACTAATTTATGAGGCCATAAAAATCTCCAGCAAACATGCAAAGAATGAGGAAGTACTTCATCAGTGTCACAAATGGATGGTGAAGCAACAGCTCCCCTGGTGGCCAGAATATCCTCAAGAAAAGCTGAAATGTTAAATTGCCTCTGTGTCTGTCTATATATGTTGTGTGTCTATGGCATTGAATGTTTGCCATGTATATGTACATTGTAATCCACCCTGAGTCCCCTGCGGGGTGAGAAGAGCGAAATATAAATACTGTAAAACAAACAAACAAACAAATAGTTGGTCCTCTGTATCCACAGCTTCTCCAACCATGGATTCAATAGCCCTTTGATGGGTAAGGCTGACGTGGCCCTCAATGAAAATGAGTTTGCCACCCCCATGCTAGAGGAATCAAACTTCTTGTGGCCGAATTAGTTTAAATTACCTCTGCTTTGTACAGTATAAATCCTGTATACATGAGGCATATGTTCCAAGACCCATTATGAATACTATGGATACTAGCTTCAGCCAGGTTGCTAAACGGGGCTAGGTTTAGGGGGCACACATAACTTCCATGTAACAAAATCCTGTTGTGGGTGTGTTTTGACTAATCCTGGACTTTTAAAAATCATTTCAGAAGAAAATTGAGAATATATTGCTAGTCGCTTCTGGTGTTAGATAATTGACTGTCTGCAAGGATGTTGCCCAGGGGATGCCCGGATGTGTTACCCGTGGGAGGCTTCTCTCATGTCTGTGCATGGGAAGCTGGGGTTCACCCCTTCTTGTGGATTCGAACCGCCAACCTTCAGGTCAGCAATTCAGCCAGCAGAAGGGTTTAACTCATTGCCCCACTGCAGCTCCTGTTTAAACCTGGACTGAAAACATATCATAGAAGGACCTGGAGGCCCACAACAATTCTGGGGAGAATATTTTTGGTGGTTTAGGGAAGTGTAATCATTGATATCGAATCCATGTACTGTTTTGAGTTCACTGGGGATGCCTTTTAAAATCCCCTCCCCTTCTGAAACCTTCTTCTGATGTGCTATGTAGTGTTAAAGGGCCAAAGATTACCACTGGTCGCTAGTCCTTCCCCAATTGAGTCCCCCCAAGGCCGCTTTGAGCCCCCCCAGGGGTGAGAAAGGCAGTATATGAATACTGTAAATAAATAAAATAAATAAAATAAATTGCAATATAATAAGAATAGTATGATGCAATGCCAAAAAAAAAAAAAGAAAAGAAAAAAGGAAAAAAAAGAAGAAGAAGAAACCTAAAGAAGTAAAAAAAATACAACATCTCTTACAAGGTTACTTTTCAAGGTGATAAAAATCAGTTCTAGTAACTGGTACATTATAATGAATAAGGAGACATTAAAAAGAATTGTATATCAGAAAATCTCTAAAAACAAGACTCTCTCTTTTAAAAAATTAATTAGACTCATTCTCAGGGGAAACAAAAGTGCAGATTCATAAACTGTATTTCATGTGCAGATATCCAGAACAAAACTTTTAAAAGGAGTTAGTGTTAAAACTTGGAAATTACCTTGAGCTGCTATAAATTTATTCTTCTCCTTGTACCCCTGGAGGGAGAAAGTAGATTTATAGAGTTTCTTTTTAAATTAGGAATACATAAAGGGATTCATTTTCTAGCTCTCAGGCCAAGATTCTATATACTTGTAATACAGTGTAAATGTACACCAGAATATCGAGGCTGGATTCCACAATTATTCAGTGGCTACAGTGGCCTTGAGTTTCTCGAGCGCATTAGAGACAATCAGCATCCCACCCACCAGGTTAAATGTGAGTCAAAGAGCGGGCTGTGTGTGCATTTGGAGAAAGACTGGCTGCACTTGAGACTGTTGTTATGCAATCTCTAATGAAGTACAATGGCTTTTACAGTAATCTTTATACTAGCCTAATACCCAACAGAATGTAGCCTTCGACAATGTGCTGCTTACTTTTTTAAAAAAAAGTATACATTGAAAGAGAAAAAAATATTTACTTACATCTATGTATGATGCATTAATGTAGTCTGAACACGGAGCTCCATCTGTCTGCGTTAATACTACTCTGGAATGATCATCTGTAATGTAAAAAAAATGCAATTAAAACTATTGCAAAAAAACACTATTGATAACTTGGATAATTTCCCTCTCTAAAGAGCATAACCCTAAAACATTTCCCATCTAAGTGAACACCCCCAATTTAAAAAAAAAATAGATTTTAAACATCCAGCCTACCTTAAACATGTAGAAAAAAATATGGCTTAATGAATTCAACTGTAACATAACTCTTTGTAACAAAATTTGAACCATGTTCTGTTCCTGGTTTGAAAGTATTATTACTGTGCAACACTTACTTTGAAAATAGTTGTTATACTCCAGAAACATCATTTTTGTAGCTGCCACAAACTATGTTGAATTGGTTTTGACTCTATGAGATATTCATTGAAAAACTATAGTAAAATGTGCTGCAGGAAGTCCCGCAAAAACAAAAAAAAATGCAGTTTAATAAATGTTTTCCATGTTTTTATGATAGAACCAATTAGGATGTGACATTTATAACCCTGGAACAAAAACTGTGTTGCATAGTGAAATAGGCTTTAATAGACAAGTGTACTTTGTCAGATGCATAAAAAAATAATTGATAGTTCACGCTAAAAAGACCAAAGTGTTCTTGTTTAGAGGCTCTGATGACTTTAGAGGAATGTGCTTAGCTTGTTTCTGATGAGGTTACACTACTTAAAGCAGCAGGTTTGTGGTTTCAAAATGTTTCTGAACCCAACCCTACCTTTTAAAGCACAGATGACCAGGTATAGATTTTAGACACAGTTATTGTTGACTGTATTGTATACTATCTCCTAATTATTTGATTTGGTCTAGAATGCTAGAGCTAACAGCATTCTAGACCAAAACCATATTATGATAATTTGGTACAGTGTCATTGAGTAGAATTTAGCCACTGGCCTTGGACTCTGATATCTCAAGATCTGGTATCTTTCAAATATGCTGAAGCAGAGAACTATCTGTTTCAAGAGAACAATCAGTTATAGAGAGAAAAGAGCTTTTAAGATGTATTACCTACATCAGAAACACAAGAAACCTTGTTGCTGCAACAAGCCAAAGGCCTGTCTTGTCCAGTATCTTTTTTCTCATTGGCCTTCTAGATACCATTGGTAAGCACAAAAACACTTCACAATAGTAACAACAATCACTCACATTCTTTGCCCCTCTGTTCATAATTACAATTGTGAATATCTTTTATATTCTGCCCATAAAAGTTTTTTGCCATACAAAATGTATTTTCCCTTGAAGTGCCAAAAATCTGTTATTTTGCTGTAACAAATTGGTAGGGTTATTCATCGAATCATGCTGTTCAAATATTTTCTATTACAAATACATTATGTTTATAATAGATTCTTATATAGATACTACTTACATGGTAATATGTTGGGATATCTGTTTTTCTCTCTGTTTTCCTCTTTGTTGGCCATCTCAAGTGTTCCTTGCATATATCCAGGAGGTAATGACTACAGAGAAAAAAGTTGTGTTAATTTAAAACATGCAGTCATAATGATTAGGTAAATAGCTTATGCTTTAAGTAAATTATTCATGCCCTATAAAGTTTTATATTATCTGAATGTATTTAAATTTCATGTATTCAACTCAACATTAGTGGAAAACACTAGATTAGGAATAAATTTCATCTTGGAAGCAAGATACATTTTTGTTATTTACTAAACTGCTGTTATCTCCAGTTATCACTGCAAACTCTTAGATTCAATATAACTATGTAATAACAGTCTTTAAAAACTGAAATTGAAATCTGTTTGTAAAGTATCCAGATTACCAGTCCTAAGAGTGGGAATCCATAATAAGAAGGTATAGTAGTTATGCAAAGTAGCGGAACAAGAGAAGATAGGCAATAGTGTTTCTCTATTACATGACTGAATTTGTCAATAAACTCTTTTACAATCCAGGAATACAATGACAGAAAATTATACTGATTATGAACTACAGGCAGCCCCCAAGTTATAAACAAGATAGGTTATGTAGGTTTGTTCTTAAGTTGAATTTGTATGTAAGTCAGAACAGATTAATTTTTCAAGTGTAATTCCAGCTTTCTCTCTCTCTCTCTACACACACACACACACACACACATGCACTTTGATTAGCATAGGGAAGCATTGCTTGTTTTGCTGTCTGTGCCCCTATTCAGAAGACTTCCCCTCACTTTCTGTTCCTGTGATAACTGGATTTTGACAATTTGGCTTGTGAAAACAAGGATTGGTGAGAAAGCTTCAGTGGAGACACCTTTCTCCCATGATAATAACTCTTTCAGGAGTGAATTTCCCTTCCAATGAGTAGATTTATCTCACTTCCTGTTGTCTCACCCTCTTCTTAACTATGATTTGATTGTAAGTCAGATATTTGTAATTCAGGGACTGCCTGTATATGTCCCAAGTTCAATTAATAGTTCCAAATAGATAAGATCCATTGAGTCCATGGCAACTGTATGTCAATACTTGTGCAGGACCCAATAACTCTACAGAGCTATTACTTGTTGGGACTAACAACTGATTTTACGCTTTAGTGCGCAACACTAGGTTAAGTTCAATGTGATATTTGCGACAGTGGTGAAAGACAAAGAGTTAAGCTACACACATATTCCATAGTCACAAATCAAGCTACCTATGGCCTGATACCAACTGTATACAGTTTGCTCATAAAAGGAAGAGGGTTATATTGAGAACTGTAAAAACTAGCAGTTTTCAGACACATACTGCACTGTGAGAAAATTCCCCTCTAAACCACAGTTCAAACCAGACCCATGGGCTCTGAAAGAGTTTCTCAGTTGATAAGGAAGTCACCTTGTCTGGTTACTTCTTGTTGCCACAACATGCATAAATTTATGTTTGTGGTTTCAATGGCAGTGCTTGTGTTGCCTCCAAAAGCTTGCTTTTTTCCTGCCTCTCCTCAGTGGAAAATAATTGGAGCAAAATCTTGTAATAATCAACATCAACGCAGCTTATTTTTATAAACTCACTTTTCATTATTTATTTTCATACTATATTTATTTATACTATCTTTGCAGCTAAGCTTTTTAAAATTCTTGACCACAGAATTTTGTCTTTTCATCAGAAGAACTGTGCAATACCAACAAACTGAACTTCTTGTTTTTCATAGGGAACCAGGACAAAGTGAGACATGGGGGGCTTAAGTTTGTTCCTATTTCTGAATTTCTCTAGAAAAGTTGTTTGAAGAAAACTAATACCATTGTATATTTTCACTCAGCCAGTGTTGTAAAGTGGTTTTGGACTAATACTCAGCCATGGAAACTCACTGGGCAACCACGGTGAAATCTCTCTGCTTCAGAGAAAGGTGAATACAAACCCTCTCTAAAAAAATCTTGCAAAGAAAACACCCTGAAAGGGTTACCTTAGAATCACCATAGGTCAGAAACAACCTATTACAATTGTGATTGTTTTATATTTTATCTGATGTTTTTAATTGGTTGTGTTTTATATGTAATTTTTGGGCTTGTCCCTTGTAAGCCGCCTCAAGTCCCTTTGGGGAGATGGTTGGCGGGGTGTAAAAATAAAGTTATTATTATTATTATTATTATTATTATTATTATTATTATTATTAAACAACTTGAAAGAATATAACAAGGGGAGTGGTAAAATACATTATTCTCATGGAGATAGTCCAGGATTCGATCTTTTGTATAACAAGACAGGGTAAAGGTAAAGGTTTTCCCCTGACATTACTCTAATGACAAAAGTCCAGTCATGTCTGACTCTGGAGGTTGGTGCTCATCTTCATTTCTAAACCGAAGAGCCGGCATTGTCCGTAGACACCTCCAAGGTCATGTGGTTGCCATGACTGCATGGAGCACCATTAATCTTCCTGCTGGAGCGGTACCTATTGATCTACTCACATTTGCATGTTTTTGAACTGCTAGGTTGGCAGAAGCTGGGGCTAACAGCAGGAGCTCATGCCACTCCCTGGATTTGAACCTGCAACCTTTCGATAAACAAGTCTAGCAGCTCAGTGGTTTGACCCACTGTGCACCAGGAGCTCCATAACAAGGCAGGGTAGGGTAGGGCAAGTAAATTATCCATTCTAAAACAAATGGCAACCATAACATTTCAGTTGTCATATGTATCGCAAGCATTTAAAAGCAAGAATCCTACAAAATCAGTTTTAACATTCAGCTTAAATAGTTTCATCTTGACTAATGCATGCCATGTAAACACCACTTCAGCAGCTGCAGTTGCAGCACTGAAAAGGAATTGAAGGAAACCCTCTGATAAGTTTACACTTCACCACCAAGACTGGAGAGTTGCATCATGGAAGAGCAAACAGAGTGTTCCTCTCCTCCTCCTTCTCCGTATCATTTCTTCCCCTTTCTTCTTTTGAATTGCCTCACGAAGGTGAGGAAATGGTAACCTTTGTGACCCAATGCAATCTTCAACTCATTTAACTTGTTTGTAATTTCCTTCTTCCATTCCCCAAAGGCATCAGATTCTGCCAGATCGTGGAAACTAAAAATGGCAAGCCCAGTTAATACTCAGGTGGGAAACTGTCAACAAATACCACATGCTGTGGGCTAAAGTTCAGAAGAATAAACTGACAAAGCTTTGAAGATTCCTTGCTTATGAAAACACTGTGAAAATTATGGTTTGCTAAATTTGACAGGTGACTTAAAAGCACACACAACAGCCACATTGTTTGGGAGATCCTGAGCCTTCAAGTATTTTCTGACTTATGATGACCTAAGGTGAATCTATCATGGGTTTTTCTTGGCAAGTGTTATTCAGAGGGGAGTTGCCTTTGTCTATGGCCAAGACAGTGTGACTTGCTCAAAACCACTCAAGGGGATTTCCTTGGCTGAAGCAGAAACTCTGGCTCTAGGCCCTTGTCCCTGTCATAGTTGCTCACATATTTAAACACCATAAATAGCAAGAGGCAGCATAAGCAACAGAACACTGCAAAGTTGCTTTAAGTGTGAAATTTCTGCAGTAATTCTAACACATTCGTTGTTAACTGCCATCAAAATGACTTTGTTTTATAGCAACCTTATGCATGACAGACCTCAAAGTCACCTTGTCATCAACTGCTCTGTTCAGGTCTTTCAGGCAATGGCTTCATTGATCGCATCTATCCATCTGTAATGCTTTCTTTCTTACCAAGCTTTATAGGTTTTTTTCCCCTAGTGAGTCATGTTTTCTCATGATATGGGCAAAATATGACAGCTCTGTCATCTGCGCTTCTGAGGAAAGTTCAGGCTTGCTCTAGGATCCATGTATTTTGTGTTTTTTTGGAAGTTGAAAGTATCTGCAGAGCTCTCCCTCAGCACCAATCTCAAATGAGTTGATTTTCTTCCTATCAGCATTCTTCACTGTCCAATGTTCATAACCACACACAAAATTTGGTAATACAATAAATAGAATGGACTAGCCTTACAATGGTATTTGATAATATATTATACTTTAGGATCTTATCTAGCACAGACCCATTATCCTGGGGCTGATCAGGCATGGTATAAATTATATCAGCATTGGGATGTCCTCATAGCCAGCTGCTATGGAGGAAGGAAGAAGTTCTGACCGTTTGGTGGATCTGAACCCAGTTTGATGTTGCCAGACAACCACTCTTACCATCCTCTCCCATTCTCTTTGTTGCTGTGGTCTCTGGGTATGACATGGGTCCCGTCATCCAGCCGTTACCTGCAGTGAGGTCGGATGGGGTGATGGAGCAATGAGGGAGAAGGAAAAGAAGAACTGCCTCCCCCTCAATTGACCCATCATCCCAGCTGATGCCACTGCAGGTGACAGCAAGTTAGCAGGACCAAATATGTACCCAGAGGCCATTGCAACATGGATAAAGGGAGAAGATGATAAGTGTCATCCCATGTCTCTGGGCCACCCGGATCAGGGAGATATGGTATGTCATCCTAAACCATTACAGCCAGTTCCGTCTTGGAACCAGCCCAAAGTTGGGAGATAATCTTAATTCTGAGCCAACAAATACATTGAGCTTTTTTTTTCTTTGAGAGTCAGAGAATTATCTTGGTAACTACTGAGCCGATACCCCTTATCCAACAAAATAGATATTTACACAAAACCGTGAAGACTGCACTGAAAACTGCGTATTATTAAAAAAGTATATTGTCAAGATAGGAAAAGTGTAAAGAATCATATGATCAAGGGACAAAAGCAAATTCCTTATGAGAAAAGATTGTTATGTTTGTAACTGTCTTAGAAAAAACTAGAAAAGGGAAGATAATAAGTATATAAAATTGTGCACTGTGCAAACCAAGTAGATAGTGAGAAAGGGGTCCCTCCTTTTGTTTTAATACTAGAATCTAGGATTAACCACTGATGCTGAATGGTAAGAAATGTAGGGCGAGTTAATAAGTATTTGTTTAACTGTGGAATCCAGTGACACAAGATGGAATGATGACAACTTTAAAAGATAATTAACTCATAGACACTTAAAAAAAACATGTATGTTAATCAGGAAACAGGAATGGTTCAGTTGTACTTATTTCCTGCTTTTAGGCTTCATATAAGCCAATGGCTGATCACTGTGTGAACAGAATGTTTAAACCAGGTAGATCAGAATGGCTCTTATCATCTATATCTGAAGGCATATAATTCAGTAGAAACTCTATGAAAATAATGTAGCACCATGAGCAATGGATTTACTGTTTTAAAATCTTATTCTGTACAAGACTTGAAGAATACAATGAGTTCTGAACATGAACAGCTGTGTGCGTGGAGGCAAAATATTCAATATTATAATGAAGACACAATATTTAAAAAGCAGAAGAAAAATATATTTCTGTAAAATCATGGTGTTCGCTAGATTTATATTTTATTTTATTTTGGTATCAGAATACTTTTAAGGAAATGTCACTATTTAAATTTATATTTCAAATATTCGATTTCATAGACATGCTGAGATAAACATTCAGCTGATGCAGATACGTTACTATAAAATGAAAGGTTAAATATATAACCGCAATGCAAATTGATGACATGCAGTCCTGCCAATTACAGAGTTGGTTTTCACTTTATTATAGCCTTAAAAGGGCACTCCTCAATGCTTCAGACAGTATTAACCGGCTTTGCTTTTCCATTTAGATGAACTCAAGCTTAAAACCTATCTAGTTCCTCTATCACAGTGTTTACGTCTACTTCCACTGAGAGCTGCTAAAGGTGTAAATCGTAATTGTGAGAACTCAAAGAACACAGCCAACACGGTTACGTTTCATTTGGTTACTCAGCAGCTAGGCCAAACCACCCACCTACCAACACACGGAAAGCATCACTTATACATGCAACCACAATGTAGCAGGAAGCAAAAGAACAAGCTTTTCTGACCGAGGTGAGGATCCTATTTGCAACAAAGCAATTCTAGAGAGACTACTACTAACAGGCAGCAAACCCACTGGGGAGTAGATCCTGAGCAGCAATATGAAACCTCTTGGGTTGTGCTCAGATTAACATCATGTCTCTGGGCCTTCAAAGCTGTCACTATGCTTCTTCACAAGCAAGAGGGTTCTCATAGGTCACTGATTCTCAAAGGGAGATCCACAGACTTTTCTGAGTATTTGAGAAACATCATCTGTCTTTTTCCCATGCCAAGCAGTCACCCTAAAGATGCACACTGCTTCTACAATCTAGTTCTCAGCAAGATTAGTGTACACATGCCTCACCACTGTCTCTGAGGATGATTAGAGGTTGATGTAAAACAGCTTGGTCATGATCTCTCTCTCTCTCTCTCTCTCTCTCTCTCCATAGTGTTTATTTTAAGAACTACTTTCTAATGATAGGGCAACCTTTTTTTTTCTTGAAATAAGCCACTATACTATGATAAACTATATAGCTTCTTTAACACAGAATGCTAGACAGGAGGCAGAGTTTACATCTATAAATTGTGACATATGGGGCAGAATGTCACTGAGTCCTACAAATCATATAGGTCTGGAAGCTATAAATGAATACCAACATCTTGAGCTAAGATGTCACTATTATTTTGCTGCTTATCTCCTCTCTTCACATTTCTACAGGATAGTTAAGGCTCATTTGCTTATCCCATAGAGTAGTGGCCTGTTCTGTGTCAGAAATGATATATGACACCATAGTGGATGGGGATGCAGTGGGGCAGTTGGGTAATGGAGTGAAATCAAAAGAAGGTAAGACTCATGTCTTGAAGTGATGCCCCTCTTCCAAAACCAAAACTCTGATAAGCAGTCAGATGAGCAGAGCTATGGTACCATGTGCTACTTAAAGCTATCCATCCTATAGGACACATTGATAAGAGAAAGAATAGTATGGATTGAATGCATGATGAACGGTAGTAGCAAAATAGCCTGAAGATACATGAAGACAATGTAACCACAGAACTTATATCCATAGTTTCATTTACCCACATAAGGACAAAAATTGTCTAAGAATTTGCTAGGTTTGATGGGTGATTTATGGTGTGCATTCCCCAGAAGTTACTATACAGTTGCCCTCTATAGGAATTTCTAAGTCCTCCAAGGCAAATTCTATAGTATGTTGGGACCAAAAGTCAGGGGATTTAAAGGCATTCAGCCCTATCTGCTGGTTCAAGATAACTATGGTCCAGTGTATCTCCTGCAGCTACAGGGGTCTTACTGTATACCCAACATAATCTACAGCCTTCTGGCAGAGGGCAATGAAATTATACCATTAGTAAAATTAGTCTTGTTTGAACAAGATTGTTACTGTATCATAATGGCACAGGTTCCTTTCAACTTTATGATAAGAAAAGCCCACACAAGCCCTGAGGTCATCAGGAGAGGCCTTTCTCTCTGCCCCACCACGGTCACAAGTATGGTTGGTGGGAACGAGTGATAGCGCCTTCACAGTTGTGGCCCCATGGCTCTGGAACTCCTTCCCCAAAGAGGTGTGTTTGGCCCCCTCGTTACTGGCCTTTTCCAGGTGAAAACCTTTCTATGGAAGCAGGCCTTCCCTAATAATCCACAATAAGCAGGCTATTTCATTCTGGCCTTGCCAGAATTTGAGCTTTGAAATGTTTTAGTACAATGTTTTAAGGATAACCTCAATGGCCTGAAGTCCAGGGATTTTTAATGATAATTATAAATGTTGTCATTTATTATGCTTATTTTATATGGTTTATGTAATGTGTTTATTTAATATGTTGGTTTACTGTTTATTTGTTTGGATTGGGGGGGGGGATGATGTTGTGTTCTTGTACTATTAATTTTTTGCTTTTAACCATTTGTTCACTGCTTTGAGTCCCACCCATGGGAGAAAAGTGGGATAGAAATAAATACATTAATTATTATTATTATTATTATTATTATTAATAGTAATAATAATAAAGCAGATGTCCTATAGTACAGATCTATGTCTTAAGTCATACACTAAAATAAATATTACATATACAGTTTCCTCCTTTACGCAACTTATATAATAACATATGAAATAATTAGTTAGCTTTATACCTACAGTATTCAAGATGACTTACATTAAACTCTTCCCGAAATAATTTTCCATCATCAGCTGCTCTGATCCGAATTTCATCTTCCAGGTGCTCCACTGGAATAGGAAAATACTTCTTTGGGCCAGAGGGAGACCTCCTGAGAAGCATCACCCTTTGTTGTTCTGTCAAAATATGATAAAGTAAATGGAAATATAAGTAAACATTATGGGGCATGTCAATCTATATAAATAAAAAAGTAATGTTAGTTTGTGGGATTAACATAACTCAAAAAACACTGGACGAATTGACACCAAATTTGGACACAATACACCTATCAGGCCAATGAGTGACCATCACTCATAAAAGCACTGAAAAACACAGAGGAAGAGACATAAAAAGCCAAAAAATATTACAACGCATTTGCAAAACCTCATATATACACAAACACATATACACAAATATATATACACACATACACATATATAAACACATATACACAGACTGAGCCACAGCAACGCATGGCAGGAGACTGCTAGTATTCTATAAAACAGTGCAGGAAACTTTGTGGAAAAAAGCAAATTCTGGATTGTAGACTAATTCTGGATAATTTAGTCTAACATACTAGAAATTAAATTAATGCTGGCATCAAATCTTCCATAAATGAGATGATAAAGTTGCACGTAGTGCCATAAGTGATTGATGTAACTGACATTTTTATGAACAAAATCGTTTTGTTTCTTGATTTTCTTTTTAAACATGTGTGAATCTTAACTAAGTGAATGTTTAGAGGACCTAAACGATACATGCAAAGGTCACCCATTGTGCATGAAAAGTAAATATAGAACAGAGATAAAATGCCACAGAATAACGAATGCCAAAGAATACTGTGGGCTCTTGGCTTCTACAGGGGTTCGATTCCAGGACATGACATTGATATCCAGATCCATAGATACTCGTCCCACGGTGTAGTAAAATGATGTCCCTTGAATCAAATGCAAAATTAAGGCTTACTTTTTGGATTAAAAATATTTTCATGCCATAGATGGTAGAATCTATGGATGCAAAATGGATATGGAGGGCCAACTGTACTTTTGCTTTTAAGACCCACTAAAGAGATGAATATATGTCTGGGATGTATATCCACAAAAAATTAGGATGAAAGGAAGAAGAGTTCTAGCCATTTTTTTTCACACATTCTGCACATGAATTAGTTCCTCTATTCTACCGCATGAGAAATGTCACGTAATACTGAATTGAGTTCAGTGCAGGCATATATTTCCAACACAAGAAAAAAAATAATGACAGCATCCCAAAACCTAATGGTAATTGCATCATCATCATCATCATCATCATCATTACCAACACTTCTAGTACTGCTCATCTCCCCAGTCAGAGGAGCTCCACATTTTGGATAACATTATTATCCTATGATGGGAATTTCTGAAGACTGCTAAACCCACAATCTATAAATCATCATGAACAAGCATAAACTGGGCTGTGGTCGAATCCAGGCATCCTTTTTCAAAGTAAAGCTACTTCCCCATAAAATACAAGACTAATACTGCTGGATTAGTTGAGGGAGTTCAGTTTCATAATTAGTTCTGCTGAAAAGAAAACTAATTTACGTAAATTCCCACACATAGTTCTTTTACCAATTCTGATGCACTGTTGTCACCTTCATTCATTTTTGTGGCTTTCTAGCACATAAAATCTGCACAACCCCCAGTGTTTACATCTTTACGTTAGTTTTGTATATGAATGATTACAACAATACTAAACACACAGTAACTGTGCCATCTGTGAAATGAAAATGAAGACATAAGAGGGGGAAAGGGTTTGAAATTATCCTGTTTCTGTTTAGTTTTCTCAATTACCATATGTTTCTGTTATAAATCTACTGTTAATATATGAGTGACATATTTTTCCTCAAGATTTGTAGTACTGGTATTTAGATTAAGTTCATCAACAACACCCATGTACCGTAGGAAGCAATTTTGTGAAACATGGGCAAAGAAACTATGGTCCTCCAGATATTGTTCAAGCCTTACTCATACCAGTTCCAGCAAGTATATGGAGATACATGGAGATACTGCAATGGAGAGATGAAAGCAATCTGGATATTCAACTCATCCCGCCTCGAACCACGAGGAGAGGTTGGTAAGAATTATTATTATTATTATTATTATTATTATTATTATTATTATTAGAGACACAAGAAGATTAGTACACAGCAAACAAGATCACGATGCTGGCTTTTGTACTGGATCACACGTCGGACACTTCCCATGTGTCTAGGACTGTGGGATGTATCGGAGAATCATGCGTGCAGATCCCAGTAGGGTGGCCTTTTGCAGCTGACAAATGGTAATTTTGTCGGCACCAATTGTTTTTAAGTGCAGGCCAAGGTCTACAGGCACTGCACCCAGTATGCCGACCACCAATGGGACCACCTTGACTGGCTTGTGCCAATGTCTTTAAATCTTTAAATCCTCGTATTGTGGCAGCTTTTCCAATGGCTTCTTGTCAATTCTGCTGTTACCTGGGATTGCAACATCGACGATCCATACTCCCCCCCCCCCCCCAATCATGAGGTCAGGAGTATTGTGCTACAAAACTCTGTTAGTCTGAATTCGGAAGTCCCAGAGTAGTCTGATGTTTTCATTTTCTGTAACTTTTTAAGGCTTGTGATCCCATCTGTTTTTTGACACAGGCAGATGGTATTTGTGGCACAAGTTTCAATGGATATTGTTGTTGTTGTTGTTGTTGTTGTTGTTGTTGTTATTGTTATTGCTATTACTATTATTATTATTATTATTATTTTACTGACACAAAAACACAGTATGTCACAGCAAACAAGATATATATGCTGGATTTCATATCACAAAATCACAAATCGAACACTTCCCAAGCATCTAGGACTGTGTGATGTGTTTTCGAATAATGTGCACAGATCCAAATAAGGTGGCCTTTTGCAGTTGACAGATTGTGATTTTGTCAATGTTTATTGTTTCCAAATGTTGGCTGAGGTCCTTTGGCATGGCACCCAGTGTGCCGATGACCACTGGGACCACCTGTACTGGTTTATGCCAGAGCCTTTGCAATTATTATTATTTGAAACACAAAAGATGAGTCTGCAGCAGACAAGATCACTCTGCTGGCTGTTGTATTGGATCGCACGTCGGACACTTCCCAAGTGTCTAGGACTGTGTGATGTATCCGCGAATAATGCGTGCAGATCCCAGTAAGGTGGGATCTGCAGGCAGATGGTAATTTTGTCCGTGCCGATTGTGTATAAGTGTAGACCAAGGACTTTAGGCACCGAACCCAGCATGCCCATCACCATTGGGACCACCTTTACTGGCTTGTGCCAGAGTCTTTGCAGTTCAGTCTTTAAATCCTCATATCATGTCAGCTTTTCCAGTTGTTTCTCTTCAATCATGCTGTCGCTGTGATTTATTGTTTCTTCTGCTTCTTTGCAGAGTCTGCATTTGGGATCTGTCGTCGACTTTTTAATCCTGGCTTTGATGGAATTTGTTCTAATGGCTTGTTCTTGGGTTGCCAGAATCAGGCCCTCCGTCTCCTTTTTCTATTATTATTATTATTATTATTATTATTATTATTATTATTATTATTATTTATGTGGCCACCCAAAATCACACATGCCAAACTGCACACAACCCCTCTTTTTACAGTTTAACACAAGGAAGAGTTATCTTCTAAATGGAAGACTTCTCAAAATCCCAATGGATGATTTTCTTAAAGGGGTGATGGAGGAAGGTTGCGGATGGGTGAGTAACAGTAATAGCCTCTCTGATATCTACAATCCATTTCCCCCCTGTGGGTCAACAGAGGAGAAACAGGAAGGGTTATTCCTTTCCAGAAATGCCCTTTCCCAGAATAAAATCTACATGTACAGAGTGATTGCACTTTAAAACACACCCATAAGATACTAATGGAAGCTTTAAAAAAAAAAACCTTAGCTGCTAGAAGGTTTGTAGTTTTTTGAGAGGCAAATACAGATAGTGATTGGCCCTTCTACTCTTACCAGTGACCTTCCCCATAAATTCTCTCTCCTTCCTAGACAGCAAAGCTTGAAATAAAAAGCTCTCCAGGTAGCTTTTAGAAAGTCTACTTACAGCTTGCACAGATGATTATTCAAATTGATCCCCCTCCCCATGGCAGCATGAAATCACACAAATCGGGTTGCTTTAAAAGGCTCTACTGGAACCATAGCAGGGAGATATTAGGTCAAAGTTGGGGATAAGATGGGGATAAGATGGGGGTAAGACTCAGGGACTTCAACCACAGTTATTAATATAATGTGTCTAATGCTCTTTGAGTATCTCACTGGCTAGGCACTAACACAAAGAAAAAAGTATTGAATAAAACACCAGCAACTGGTAAAACATCTGAGTATTCTTTGACTATGAAAACCTAATGAAATTCATGGGATTGCCATAAGTTGACATGCAGCTCTAAGGCACATACACACAATACTTTTTTATTTATCTGTTGCAGCACTGCACTTCGCTTAAAAAAAACATTATACCATAGTTGTTCTCTATATCTTTGCAAGCGCAACTATATATTTTTTGGGTTGTTGTAGGTTTTTTTGGGGTATATGGCCATATTCTAGAAGCATTCTCTCCTGATGTTTCACCTGCATCTATGGCAAACATCCTCAGAGGTTGTGAGGTCCTCACAACCCCTGAGGATGCTTGCCATAGATGCAGGCAAAACATCAGAATAGAATGCTTCTAGAACATGGCCTTATAGCCCGAAAAAACCTACAACCCAGTGATTCCAGCCATGAAAGCCTTCGACAATTTATTTATTTATTTATTTATTTATTTATTTCTGATATTTGTGCCCTGTCTCTTCTCTACCTCTGAAGGGGGACTCAGGACGGCTTACATTAGTAATGGTAGAAGGCCACTACATCACTATTACAATAATATAATCACAATCAAATACATAAACAGTAATTAAAACCAGTACATATAGCATCAATTAAAACAATAAAACAAAATCACAATGTCATCTGCCCCAGTGCCATTCCAGTCAATGTCCACTAAGGTGCAAATTATGTCTGCTGTCTGAAGGCCTGGTCCCAAAACCACGATTTTTTTTCCTGAAAGCCAGGAGGGATGGAGTCGATCTTATCTCATTTGGGAGTGCGCTCCATAGGCTGGGGGCCACAGCCGAGAAGGCCCTGTCTCTTGTCCCTGCCAAACGCATTTGCAATGTTGACGGAAGCGAGAGCAGGCCTCCCCTGATGATCTTAGGTTGTGAGATGGGACGTAGAGGCAAATGCGTTTGGACAAGTAAGCTGGGCCAGAACCGTATAGAGCTTTATAGGTCAAAACCAGCACTCCTAATTGGGCACGGAGGTGGACCGGCAGCCAGTGGAGCTGACATAACAGGGAGGTAGTATATTCCCTGTATGTTGCCTCAGTTAGTAATCTGGCTGCCTCCCATTGGACTAGCTGTAGTTTCCGAGCCATCTTAAAAGGCAGCCTCACGTAGAGCGCGTTGCAGTAATCTATTCGTGATGTAACTAGAGCGTGGACGACTGTAGCCAGATCAGACTTATATATTTTTTTGTAATTCCAATTCAAGATTGTTTCACACATTACACAAAATTTCCTTCCAGCTGTTCCTTCAGCAGGGTGCTATAGCCCATTCACTATAGCCTACTACACCTCATGTGTTTTCACATTACTGTTTGCCACACTCATATGTATCTTGGTTTAAAGCTTATATATAATATCCCATGGGGGGGGGGGGGAATCACCTCCTTGGATATACCAAATCTCATTGGCTTTCAGACGCTATCTAGGGTCAAGCCAACTTAATCATTGTATGGATGATCATTAGGGTCACACTACACAATTATAATGCACAGATTGTACAGATTCACACTACACAATGACAGTGTAGTGTACAGATTCACACTACATAATTATGTTATGATTCCACTTTAACTGCCAGGGTTCCATCCTATGGTGAGAAACTGGAAAACTCTGGCTAAAATTTCTCAAAGCTCCTGCCAGTCCAGGATTTTATGAGACAGAACTATAACATTATAACAGCGTAATTGTTTGGTGTGAATGGGTCCCAAGTAGGGCAAAAAGGAATCCTGCACACAACTGCATCTAGGCAGAGTTCACAAGACTGGGTCTGACTCAGTATATAGTAACTTCCTATGTTCATAGTTAGCACATCCTAGTTCTACACCCAACACATATACTGTTCAAAATGACTCAAAATCTAACTTGAGATGTACTTACATTCAGACTCTATTTAAAATAAAGCAATACAATCAAAACTGGCTTACAAAATCCCATACTTGTGATAAATACTGATTCAAGTATCAACAATATGCTGTCATAAAATATTAAAAGCTGTTTTGAAAAGACACATATGGTTTTCAAGTACTGTGAATGAAGAGAAACTATCACTTTACTTTCTCTCAGCATTGTATTTACTACTAAAAGAAAAAGTACTCAATATGAAGTTAATAAAAGGTATAATTACCTTGCTCTTCTAAGATCCCATTTGGCATTTTTTTATCACTGGAATTCACCACTGCTTTTCTGTGTCTCCTGAACCTTAATAAATATATAAGAAACATTTGAGGTAGAATGGAAATACCTCCTGGAAACAAATCATAATCAACACATATTACTGAAGGTTGCATTTCACAAACCATGTAATTCTAGAAAAACTTTTTCTTAACATCTTTTGATTGTAAAAGCTCCAACTGGTTCAGAGAAGCAGTCTGTTAACATCCTCTGCTGCTCGAAGTAATTCGTGAGACTACAATCAGCACAGCTATGTGCAATATACACTTTCATTTCCTCATTAGATCACATGCAAGCAAGACACAACTCGCCCCGAGCCAAGTGTATGAGTCATGCTTACCTAAAGAAATAGCCAGCTAAAAGAACTAGAATTATGAACACCAAAATCAAAATCAGCATTGAAATCAATAGGTGTTGGGGGTGACCATTTTCTTCTGGAGGACCTATAGAAGTTAAAAACAAAAATCAGAAATGGTGAATTAGTTTATCTCTAACAAATAAAATATCCACCTTAATATTCACAAAATCTGAAGCACAGAAATTAGTCACAGCATATTTTTAACAATTCCCAAAGCAATATGCATTCTGGATCTATCAGACCTACCACCTAAGCTCACACACAGTGGGAAGCGTCCTAGCATGCTGACCAGTATGCTTCCTTCACAGAGTCTTCTGGATGCCATCAGCCAGTGTAAGACAACTTCTGGAGAGGCTCTGTAGAGAAAGCAATGTGCTAGGATGCTTCCTTGGGAACATAGGAGACTTCCCATGTTTCATAGAGAAAATGGGGGAAGCTGGATGGCGACACTTCCCCCTGTGGGATGAGGCAAGGGGTCCAGCAGATGATGCAGGGCATGGGGCAACAGTCCCCCCCCCCACTGCCCCACGGATTCAGACCTCAGTGTAATGAGGTCCCTAGAGTGTCAATGTTGGACTAGGATACTGGGAAAGCAGAATCTGAATCCGTCGTGACCACAGAATCCCATTGGTTGACCTCAGGAGAAGGCAAGGGCAAACCTCTTCTGAACAAATTCTGCCAAGGGAAACCTATAATAAGTTTATCTTAGGGTCACCATAACCCAGAAATGACTTGAAGGCTCACAACAGCAACAACCACCACCATCTGTTAGGAGGTTTGTTTTTATCCCGTGTCAGGAGCAACTTGAGAAACTCCAAGTTGCTTCTGGTGTGAGAGAATTGGCCGTCTGCAAGGATGTTTGCCCAGGGGACGCCCAATGTTTTGATGTTTTATCATCCTTGTGGGAGGCTTCTCTCATGTCCCCCGCATGGAGCTGGAGCTGATAGAGGGAGCTCATCCACTCTCTCCCTGGATTCAAACCTTGATTTTGTCATTCAGTCCTGCAGACAAGGGTTTAACCAACTGCGCCACTGGTACCTATTAATATATTTAAAAAAATATTTGCTAAAATATTTGGGAAGGCATTTTTCACACCCCAGTAAAGTTACAGATATTACTTCATTTCTATGACCTCTGATAGCATCTCAGCTTCTTTTCTGAACAATCTTTCTGTTTCCTGAGGCTCAAATTGAAATAGAACCACTCTACTGTAGACATTTTCAGAAAAGATAACCTATGAATTTGCTTCAATGATTAAAGTCAGACTGATTGATTAACAACTCACATTCACTTTATTAAAATAATTAATAAGCAGTCAAACCTGCACTCTTAACAAAAAGGTTTTAGTTTTTTTTTTTAAAAAAAAAAAACCTCAATGTAAAATTAAACTAAAAATGTATACAGAGGATCCTATAAGACTGTAGGCAAGGAGGAAGCGGATGTCAGGCTGCTAGCGGGATCATCTAAGTCCCGTCGCAAACTAGGCTCCTGCGGGAGCAAACCTTGCCAGCACGTCCCTGACGTCATGAGACTCCGCCTCTCGCCCCGCCCCTTTCTCAGCCTCTTTCTCCCTGCCAGAGTGGTTTTTCCTTTGCTAGGGCAGCATTGCCAGCATACTCTCTCAGTTGGCAGAATTCAACCAACAGAGTACGCTGGCAATGCTGCCCTAGCAAAGGAAAAACCACTCTGGCACGGAGAAAGGGGCAGGGAGAGAGGCGCAGTCTCATGACGTCAGGGACGTGCTGGCAAGGTTTGCTCCCGCAGGAGGCTAGTTTGCGGCGGCTCTAAGATCCCATATTACACCAATTCTGCAACAACTGCATTGGCTACCAATAGAACATCGGATCTCTTACAAGATACTGATCCTGACATTTAGAGCTCAAAATGGCCAAGGACCTTTATATCTTAGGGACCACCTCATTCCTTTTCCCCATCAGTGGTCACCTTGATCCACCCAGGAAAATCTCCTATACATACCAGGTCCTAGGGAAGCACATTTGGAAGCTACAAGGCGTAGAGCTTTTTCGACCTGTGCTCCAATTCTGTGGAACTCATTGCCTCCATATATTAGAGCAATGTCGGAGTTGCGACCTTTTGTAAAGGCGCTCAAGACTTGGCTGTTTGGTTGTGCATTTAAGTAATCGGATCAAATTTTGCCATAGTCACTGCTGAATGTTTTTATGTTGAATTTTTTATGTTGAATGTTTTTATGTTGAATGTTTTATATTGTGTATAAGCTATTTTAAATTGTAAGTCGCTCGGAGCACTTTGGTGGAGAACAACTAATTAAGAAATAAAGTGATGATGATGATGATGTTAAACAAGAGTCTATGATACTTTTATATGTATTATATAAATAGTAGACTGTGCCCCCTTAAAGGAAATATATTATCTGAGAAATGATTATGGAACACTAATAGATGGAAAGTATTGCACTGTATGCTACAAACACTTGTAAATGTATGTCTACTTGAATAAATAAATGAACAGTTAAACAGAAAAAAATGAAAAAACTCTCTGATCAATCTGACCCCTCTCGGGTTATAGAATAGTCTATACTTGACCTCTAATGCATAATGCAGCGCAACAAACAAAACAAAAACACCCTGGGTCCTTGAACACTCACATATTAGATGGCACTCTGTAGTCCATTCTTGGATTCTATTTGTAAAAACAGCTATATGATCGGGGCATAGCTATAGTGAGCCAAATAGACATCTGAGGGAGAAACCATACCTTTACTTTCCACTGTAGATATGATTCAGATATTATGCAATCTGACTTCCAGTACTTGATTGTATACCTAAAATGTCAGAGTATAGGTAGTTCCCAAGTTATGAACAAGATAGGTTCTGTAAGTTTATTATTAAGGGGCAAGATGGGCATTATTCTAAGAACTGGAAGGAAGATGGAAGTAGTGAAATGAGAACTGAAATTACACTCGAAAGAGAAAGCAGAGCAGAAAGGGAAGTGGGGTCATAAGAAGGAACCTAAGAAAGGAGTCAGAAGCAGAAAAATAGCCAAAGTGTGAGCTTAATCTGTGGGGAAACACTTTGAGAGAAAAGCTTGCTGTGAAGAACTGTTTGTCTGAAACATGAGAGGAAGATAATATAAAAAAAGATCAATATTGCTTAGAGATTGTGTTTAGACAGGCCTGAACTCATGTGTCAAATGCAAGGCATGGAGGCCAAATCTGGCCCACCATGTCATTTTATGTGGCTTGCAAGGCTTTCATTGCCAGGGTAATAGTTATAGTTATACAATTTTACAATTGCAAACAGCCCTTTGAAGGCAACCATAAGACTGATGTGGTTCCCAGTGAAAATGAGTTTGACCATGTTTTAAAGAAGGGATTCGCAACCTTCCTAATGCTGTGACCACTTAATGCAGTTCCTCATGTTGTGATGACCCTCAACCATAAAAATTATTTTTGTTGCTACTTCAGTACTGTACTTTTGCTACTGTTATGAATCGTCATGTAAATGTCTGATATGCAGGGTGCATTTTCATTAACTGGAACAAATTTGGCATAAATAACCAATACACCCAAATTTGAAAACAGGTGGGGTTGAGGGGGCTGATTTTGTCATTTAGGGATTTATAGTTCACCTACAATCAAAGAGCATTCTGAACTCCAACAATGATGGAATTGAACCAAACTTGGCACACAGAACTCCCATGACCAACAGAAAATACTGGAAGGTTTTGGTGGGTTGACCTTGAGTTTTGGAGTTGTAGTTCACCTACATTCAGAGATCATTGTGGACTCAAATAATCCAAACTTGGCACAAATACTCAATATGCCCAAATGTGAACATTGGTGGAGTTTGGGGAAAATAGGCCTTGACATTTGGGAGTTGTAGTAGCTGGAATTTATAGTTCAGCTACAATCAAAGAGCTTTCTGAACCTCACCAACAATAGAACTGGGTCAAACATCCCACACAATACCCCCAAGACCAACAGAAAATACTGTGCATTTGAGTTTAGGCTCCAAAATATTTCATAGATGCAAATAGGGGTGTTTTGAAATCCCCCCCCCCCCAAAAAAAACAAAACCCCAAACCCTGAAATCCAAAACACTTCTAGTCCCAAGCATTTTGGATTAGGAATACTCAATCTGCATTCCAAAGGACTGGAAACACTTTTTAGGGCAATTTCACTTTTCCTCACAATCCAGGAATAGACACAGATAAAAAAGGGCAATTCCAAAAGGATCCCTAGCATAGAAAATACAAAATAGCAGTAGTCCAAAAATAAAAAGGTTCATAAAGTCAGGAAAGCCAAAATCCACAGCAGTATTTTGAACATAAATCCATGAGCATGAAAACAGGAACTTTTTCAAAGTAAACTCTCCAAGGAAACACAGGCATGGGCACAGGAAACCTGGACAAGCAGAAACAAAAGAACAATCTTCTATAATAATTTGGTCTCCTCTGAGGACTCTGAAACCAAACTCCTTAATTTAAGCCCTCAAAGACACCCATGACATCATGCCTGACACATCTGGACTTCAGGGTCTTATCTTGGATCCACTGGGAATATATAGTTTACCTGTTTTTCATTCCTCCGTTCTCATGTCTAATCTAGCCTCCCTGGAAAAATCCCACGGCCTTTTCCCCAGGGAACTGGAATTTTCACTTTTCCTTGAATGAGCACAGGAATCCAAAACACCAACCTCATCTGCCTGCAATTCTCCGATTACCACAGACTCCTCATTTTAAAATCTATCATCCCCCTCATCCTCCGAACCATTAGAAAAGTCCTCTGACACTTGCTGGACTACAACACAACATTCAAATTTAGAAGAAAAATATGTTAGGGGGAAGAATTCCCATTGTGGACAAAGTCTTATTGTCCCTTTCCCCACATTAAACATTCTTGTTCTTTGATTCTGGGTTCGTGAAGACTTTGTCCTTATTTCTTCATATTGATAACTTGTAAACACCAAAGGAATGAAATGTCTGAGGCTGGGCATATTTCAGCACAGGAGTGGTAGGGAACTCTTAAAAGTAACTTAAAAGCAATGATATAGTAAAGCTGTCACTTAGTAAAATGTAAAAATTATATACAACTCAATTAAAAGG